CCTAAAACTATTAAGTAATTCGCAAGTATTGTTATACACGTTTCCCGAAATTAGGCCAAGTTTAGTTTTCTTTCTCTTGTTTGTGATTATTCAAGAAACTAGTGCCGCTCTCTTAATCAGAGATTAAAAAAAAAAAAACAGTACCACTTGTGATTTCCCAAGTCTCAGGCTCTTTATATGTGTTTCCTCTGAGTTCCTTTTCGCTTGTCAAGAATTTTCATCTTTTCATACGAGCTGTTTTTGATTACCTTTTTTCCGGGTTGATGACACACACACAGAGTCTTAAAGCGCTCCATTTTCATACTCCCTTTTGTTTTCCCAGCAGAGAACTTGATGCTGCCGGTCCAAACTACAGATTACATAATGGATGTAGTCAGTTCCATGGAGAGACAAGGGATCGCTTACAGTCTGTGCTTCCGCCGTGTTTTATGGCTACAAGGCCTGAGACTGGATAATGAGCTGCTGGTTAGCATCATCTACCATCAGGTACAACCAGTCATACAGGTTTCAAAACCTTTACAGTTGCTGAGGTTACCTAGAATGTTTTTGTCCCGTGCTTGTGGCAAGACGAAAAGACATATTTTTCGTGCTTAAGTTTTGACTGTCTGGTCTCTTTGCAGGTATTGCCAGACTACATGGCGGGTTATCTGATAGGAACACACAGTCGATCCTTTGGCGATGCACAGGTAACGTTTCAGAATTCTATGTCTTTATATCACCTCCCTTGTTCTGAACTGTTTCTTGTCTTTTTTATCAGCAGATATCTTAATTAAATAAGCTTACCGCTTTTGCCTTCCAGTCACAATTCGACTTTAGATTCATGGCAGGCAGGCAGGCAGACGGGCACGCAGGCAGTTTTGCTGATGTTCTCTTCGATAGCATGTACCGTCCTTATCCTGATAATTAACCGTTTGCATTTGTCTTCAGTTTCAGAATCTTATTGCTGAACTTGGAGCGCTTCAGTATCGAGCCCGTGATAAATCAATCCTTCATTCGAACCAGTAAGACCTTATTGACTTTGCACTGCATTCTGTAAGAGTTAACACTTTGGTCCAAAGCAACCCTCAGTTTACTGAACCTGTAATCTGTAACTTGTTTGTTTTTATTCAGTTCAGAAGTACAGACTCTTATACCAAGGGGAATGTTAGAGAGACTACGGCCTCAACAGTGGATAATTCTTATACAAGATCACTTCAGGAGCTGTCACAAAATGACCCCTTATCAAGCTCGCCGGAAATTCCTTGGTACGTACTTGGACAGAATTGTTGGAAATCATTTTGTGATAGAACAGTTTTCAACAACGCGTTGAAGCGGTTAATGAAAAGAAAGGCTAATATCATCGTTATCCAACGAGAGCCAAGTGAAAACCTGCAAACCTCTTAAAGCCCGGGAAAAAGCGAGTGATCGACACGCGATTGGTATTAGTTTTTACATGTAATTGGTTAAGAGAGTGGCATAAGCTTTTTTACCAATCACAGAGTTAAGTTTATCAAAACCAAAGCAATCCCGGATGACGTGCGACTCTCAATGTGATTGAACAACTGGTTATGCTGAGGTCCAGAAACAGTACGGAACGACAACCAAAACAATGAATTATGATTTGAACAAGACTCGAGCATATTTTGAAGCTTGCATACCCCATCTATTGTGACTGAAATTATGCATGATAGAGTCATATCTTGAAGTACACTATTGTTTTCGGGCTGCCTTATTCTGTATGTGAATGCTTGTTTTCACTATTTTTCTCGCTGTCACCTAAGCCTACAAGAACACATTAGTTCGATGATGAGAAAAGCATGACATTTTCCTTGCAGAAACTGTCACTAGGTGGCCATATTTTGGATCAACTTTCTTTGAAGTTAAGGTAAGTCTCAAATGGTACAGTACAGGTTGATTTAAATGTGTGGGAGCTACCCTTAGTGTGTAGGGGTAATCTCAAGTTCAGTTCCTCTGGCCGTTGAAGTAAGGAATGTTTCACATAAGCTTGAAGCGTTCATTGATCAATCGTCAGTGTCGCTTTGTACAAGTTCGATTATAGTTCCTCGAAGACACGTTTTGTTTATTTATTTATTTGTTTATACGACACCTCTGTTTTATTGCATTAAGAGAGATCGCTTACCGAGATTTCTGTGTTTTTTTCTGGTCGTGTGTTTGTTTTCCTTGTATCATTTTTTAGTGCAATTCTATCTTTCACTGATTTTTACTGTTGTTTCAATGTTGGTTTTTAGAAATGCAGCAACCCAGCTGTTTCCGGTGATTGTATCGTGGCAGTCAATAGAACCGGAGTTCATTTCTTGAGTCAAAATACGATGGTAAGTGAGAAACTTGTAGTAATGTAAATTAGAGATATTTTTTTAAATACGACATTTATCCAGTATCACCATCCACTTTAAGAAGCAACAAAACCGCAAAGGCACAGGAGTAGTGAGGGATGGAGAAGATTGTTGCGGATTGTAAGTGACAAAAACGACCACAAAATATTGGTGCTGTTAGAAAGAAAACATCACTAACACGAGACGAACAAACGTAAAAGGAGCGTAAAGACAATTAATAAAGATTATTTAGGATCGACCTGAAACGCGTGGGCTGTATTTTCCATGGTACCCCAACCTAGGCATCACTCCCTTGAGTATGTTTAAAATGTAACTCTCATCTTAACGACTTATCCAGAATCTTCCTGGCAGTTTCAAGCTAGTGTCTTTGTTTCACAGCCACCTCGTTCGCCTACTTCTATTTTCAACTTCGTATACCTGATTTCTTCCTGATTTATTTCAGCAAACGATGCTGAGCGAGCCATTTGTTAGTATTATCTCCACGCGGCTTTTAATCTCGGACAAAAAGAGACAGTTCTTGGATCTTAAAATTGGAAATACTATGATGCAGAAAGTCACCCGCATGGAAACAACTCAGGTAATTAGACGACCAAAGCTTGCTTGTCATCAATAAGGTGTTGAGTTCGTGGGTTTGTTAGCATCCGGCGTAGCCAATCAGTGACGTTAGTTTATTGTATCGCATCGCACCCATCGCAAGTTGAAGTATGAACAATACTGCATGCAGCTGCTCAAAACGATAGTCAGAAGGGTCAATCATTCATTGAGTTGTGCTCTCGGCTTTCGCGTGATCGAGGGTCAAAGTTGCTAGTATTCGGATAGCTAGGTACCACAATTTGGAGAAAGTGTCTGGATTCCCTCTTAGACCTTCAGAGATAGCATCTGAAGAAATAGGTATAAAAAAATGAAATTGTGTTTTTATATAACATTATTACCTTAAACTTGGTCGCTATTTGAATAACAGAAGTTATAACTAATTTACCTTACTACTTTCTAGGCTAAAGAAATTTCCAATCTTATCTACAAGTACGTGGCCCTACATTCCTCGGTGAAACAAGAAGGCCAAGGTCAAGGCCAATGATTATATGGAATGATGAAATCTTAACTTTAATACCACAAGTTACCGATGAAGTTAAATGGTTACCTCGAGAGATCCTTAGACATTCATCGCTTAGAGGTGATCGAGGAGAAACTCTTCTCCCCTCATGAATATTCCTACGTTCCCATTTACGTTTTTTAGATCACCCCAGAACGATCTAGAAATATCAGATCCTGTGACGGACTTTTTTAGGTGAGCATAGCATGGCGTGACTATTCTCTCTCTGTCAGAGCATATACAGAGAAACGCATCCCATGCGCTAAATCATTTCTCTCCCGGAGAGACTAATTCAACAGTAACAATAGCTGGAGAGATGTGAATTTTGGATAAAGCCCAGTAGGCAGGCTCCATCTCTTTGCTTGATCCTCTCTGTTCAAGGCTGAAACTTTGCATTGCAAATTATTTACAAGATGAATTTATGTACTACAGCAGTTTACATATACCTACCATTCGTGTAATTTTTTAAGGAAAAAAATTGACCAATAAGAATTGTTCTGATGTGGACAAAATTACAGAATTTTTGTACCATTAAAATGTTGAATAAATTTAATTAGGTGAAATTAAGAAACAAACACCCTGATATATCTTTCTGTGAAGTTAAATGTGTATATATGTTCTCAGTATAGTGCCTATAAGTGTATGGGCAGCTGAAACATGAAGATGTATCAATAACAAGAATAAGAGATGAATTGGATTCGCACAATGTATTTCCAATGAGGTTTTTGATGAAGTGCGTTTGTAATGGTTTAATGTGTATAAGTTTGTCAACGAGGGTGAAATTTAAGCTCTTTTGCATTTTACTTGGTAACATTTTTGTAATGTTAAGTTTGTTATTTTTTTCTATTTGACGTTTATTCTGTTTTCATTTATCGATGATGGACTAGGACTTTGAATGTGGCCTAGTTAACTAAACGTAGCGGAGTGAGGAATGTATTGTATAGATTAGAGGCTGTCTTCTCTATTTTTCAAATTGAGAATCTGTCCCGTAGTGTGACGTCGTTCATTAGTAATAACAGTAAACTTTGTATCGTAGGCTCTAATGTTCAGAACCATAGACTAGTGTTAGCTTGGGCGAGGTTGCGAAGTTCACGAGCAAACTAAGTCACCAAGTTTTTCGGGGAAATGAGGCTGCTATATTTACACAAGGAACAGTCACATATTTTATCGAATATTTTTTTACATTAATTTGCGAGATATTCAGACTGTCTCCTAAAACTAAAATAAAAAAATAATATTCATCTCACAAACCTTATAGTTTGTTGACAAATCAATATGTATATTAATGGTACTTTGCAAAAGAGTTCTTCAACTTCTCACGAGTACCACTATATAAATCTTAACCTTATCAATATAAATGCAACTCAAAAATGTAGTTGTGAAATTACCTCGAGTACAGTTGCCCCAAGGGTGAAATTGTGTTATTCAGCGATTTGTAGTGAGTTTTTGGGTGAGGCGTAAATTATTGTATTCATCTACTCATTTTGAAATAATGTGGCTATTTGTGTTGAAATACTTTTCTATATATGGTCAGCAATGGTCAATTAATGTAATGAGCAGTAATTTATAATTTACTGTAGGTTAGATTGGTATTATTAAAATGTAATTCAGGCAAATGTTAGATAAGAAAACAAACCTACAGTGGAAATTTTTTGTGTCAGGTGTAGTTTATTTTTATAATCACTTCAATAATTTTGTTTACAGTTTGAATTGCACGACTTCGCCGACAATCGCACGTTTCTCTTCAAATGTTTTACAGGAATCATATAGTTCGTACGTAACAGCGCATTGATTAAAATGAACATTTCGTTACCGTTTGCTTCTTTAATGTCTTTATCCATCGACAGAGAGTTTGATTGCTCGAGATGTCTTTTTTTGGCGACTTGGAATAATCATTTTATTTATAAAAATGGAACCCTTATTAAAACATCCCGTATTAAAAATTCAACTCCAAACTGAAGACCAAAAATTAATAGGCTTTTATTTGAAAATGAATCCTTGTTACATTAGTAAATTGGCTCAATAAGTAAATACCTGATGTCCACAAATTAAGGAGCTTGTCGTTTATGTCTGACTCTCTGTGTAATTAGAGGTACCTTGTTATTCATTTTAAATCAACATCTTTGTCTTATTCCTATCGATTCTCTTAGCGCTCGACAAAGAATGCCTTGGGACCGCAAAAAAATGTGATAATTTTACAACAATGCTAGTGATAGTAATTAATAATGGTAATAGGAACGAGTGGAGTCCAATTCGGTCTGTAATCTTACGAGTGATGAATAAAATCACGATTTGTCAATCACGAGTATGATTAAATAGGTAATTAAGTAACAGCCTGTTCATTCGACCGCCACAAAAGGCTGGTAGCTATTCAAGGAATGAGTCTTATTGATTGGTTTACACTTGCCATGTGACTGCAGAAAAATAAGCGGGAAAGTGAAACGCTCCGTGCCCCGATTATTTGGCTACATGTTTTGATTTCCTTTGTACGACTTGCAGTTGATTCAAGGAACGTAGAGGACGACAGGAGCCATACGACGTAAAACCGAGTCTTAGTAAGTGTATTATGCCGAGAATGTCCCAGCTTCTGACATGGGAACGGTAGAATGAAATGAAATGTTAAAATGTTCCCAGTTTTAAAGTGCCTCTAATAAGTAGTGTGCATGCCGTTCAAAGCCGGTAGACCATGTCGAAGCCTCTCGTCAGAGAAAGTACAGATTTGGCGGCAACTTTCAAAGAAGGAGGTGTGGAGGCGAAGTATAAATTTCCCATGCTGTGCTTCAATTTTTCCTTCTCTTCCCACGGTAGATACCAAGACAGACAGACCAAGTACGCTGGGAGATTCTCGGATGACGCTAACTCTCGGTTGTCTTTGACTGAAAACATGTGCACCAGAGAAAAAATGCCAAGCTTCTGTGTTGATTTGGATCCTGGCAAGGTGAATTGGCTTTTCTGTCTTTCCATCACACAATCTTTGTTTTCAGACGAAAAAGATTGGGTCTTAGCTGTGGCATGATGACATTCGACCTTTTGAATGCTAGTGTTCACTTGTTTGATTCTCTGAAAATGTACAGTCGTCCCAATAATTGTGACTTTGGCTTCTTCAGTCACATCAGCCTCCAACTGTGCACAAGCCTCTGGTCTTTGAGGAGATTCACGTTTTGAATCTCTTTCATCATTGTTAGGTTCAAGAGGATTTTTGGAATCGGCCTTGATCTCCACAGCACCCAGTGCTACACCCAAGTCAGTAATGATGGATTTTGATGACTGCCTCTCTAGAAAATGATTTCCTTTAACTTGAGTTAAATCCAAATTTGAGCTATTAACCTGATGACCATGGTTACTATGATTCATCTTTCTACCATGTGCATATTTTTTTCCTTCAGCGAAAGCCAAATGAACCAACGGTACCATTGTCATCCAAACAAAAGACAATTCTTCCTCATATTTTGTGACCTCACTGGGAACGTGCTTGTCCAGGAAGGTGTCAATAAGTTTGTCTATAGTAGAACAAACACTTGCTGCCAGATTGACCAGAGGAGCTGAGCACATTCTTGCCAGGAACAGACAACAATAGTACCTTTTTCAGAGGAGGGCAAAAAAAGTGAAAAAAAAAATGATCATATGAATACCCATTGTATTAAAATGAATGTAAATTAACCTTGTAATCCCACACTATGACACTATGAAGTTATGAAGCTGCAGATATTGTTGATTGTGATGACAATGAACAAGAGGCAAAGAAAGAGGAAGGGAGAATTTGAAGGAAGAGGAGGATAAAAGGAAAAAAAAAAGACACTAGGAATAAGGATATGGGTGAGAATGGCAAAGGGTTTAGAAATGATGATGATGAAAAGATGACTAAATAAGAAAGAATGATGAGGATGAAGATGAGCTCAACAATCTATGAAGGATATGGATATATAGATGAGGGATTAATGGTACTTTGCAAAACAGTTCTTCAACTGGGGATAAGGATATGGGTGAGAATGGCAAAGGGTTTAGAAATGATGATGATGAAAAGATGACTAAATAAGAAAGAAGGATGAGGATGAAGATGAGCTCAACAATCTATGAAGGATATGGATATAGATGGGGGTTTATGACAGCATAAGGAGAGGTATCAGCAGGCTCATGTTCATGTTGTTAGAAGGGCTAGAACTGGGAAAGATCTGTTTATTATTTCCACTTGCACTTTTTTGCAAACCTGAATTTTTAAAATCTTGAAAGATTTGCATGCTACTGATCCCACCTAAACCCTGCTCTTCCCCTGCAAATAATGCTGATGAAAAGAAAAGGATGCAAATAAGGATGAGACTGAGGATGAACTAGTGCTGAGGATATATAAACTAGTGCAAACACTATTATCAGTCAAGATAGTTAGGAAAAATCTGTTTGAAAAGATGAATAAAAATAGTTTCACAAAATTTTCCAACCTTAAAGGGAAATCTCCTTCCTCATCATCCAATAGCTTTTTTGTAATATTAAGCATTTTTTCCACAACTCCACAGTTTACTAAATATTGGGCAGATTTTACATTGAATGTGCAGTAAAACAGCGTGTTGGAGGCAACCTGACTTGAAAATAGTGAATATTCTGCTGTCTCAGACTGGCTTCTGTCAATCATAAAGAGTAATTTGCTGATCATTGCTGGTGATTTGGCAACTTCTAGCTGGAGGTTTGAATCATACTCCACAAATCTAGGAAAAAGAGGGTATGTGAAATCATATTAAATCAGAACTGTAATGGATCAAATTTTGAGAATGAAATTGTTTTACAGACTGATGAAGCTATAGCTAAGTTAATTTTTCAGCTGAAGAGGCAATAAAAACAAATAAAATTTATCGACTGTTCAATTATGGAAGAAATATTCTGAGCTATCCCGAAAAAAAATTGACTTTCAGCAAGCCAACTTTGGTTACCAATTGGGAGTTGAGCTCTAACTCTCTAGTAAGAGAGTTAGAGCACACTGTCTACATGCATGCAAAATTGCATAGTACATAACTGCAAGTGCAGTCATGATTTATGAAATGTGTATCCACAGGCACATTTCCTTGATAAACAAATTGTTTTAAACAGATCATAAAAAAAATATGAATAAAATTAACTTAGATTTGCTTTACTTTATATTGTTGTTTAAAAAGTTAGTTGTCCTGTGATTAAAAATCTAAATTTTCTGAAACTATGCATACCTATACAATTAACAGAAATCCTGTATTGCACCATTTAACAATATCGTGTAAATAGGAAGCCATTGACTAAAGTGCAAAACAAATTTTTTTGTTGAGTATACAATTACCATAATTTTGTTTCGATGCGAGACATGCAAAATCTTCCAAAAGAGACAGTGTAAGAATAGTTAAACTCTGAGTCTGTCTGCTAGTACTAAGCCAATTGTATTCTTCTGTTGACATTTTGAAACCAAACAAAAATATCAGTTCCAGACAGACATTAATCTTCTCACATGGATAAAATAACAAGTCAGATTAATATCTACCCTGTTTTTTGGTTAAGTGATTTAACTCACCCTGCACAGCAGCCAACAGCAGACTGATTTAAGAAAACAATCAATCTGGCTAAGTCAGTGAGGCCAGCCTTGTTGAATACATCTGGGTGGATAAGGAGAGCTTCAACTGATAATGGAAAGACACCCTTTGATAAAGCAAACTTCTTATCTTCATATGTCTCAGCAAAGGTCCACAAACAGGAAAGACATCTGTATTCAAGAAGAAGCTGTCCTTGATCAAAATGGTGTTTTAAATGATTCAGGGTTCGTAACATCACAACATCCATTGGACTTTGAGCATCTCTAAAGGCCAAAGTATCAATAAAAGAGGTTATTTTAGAGAAAAAAGTACATCCTACAGAGAGTTATATATAAACTAGATTCAAAATTAAAAACTGCCACCCATCTTATATTGCACAGTCATGGCTTCAACATCACTGAATGTCATGATTGTAGTATATAAAGCCTGATGCACACCATTCTGATATTTATATAATTATATATATTAACAATTTTGTTTCTCACCACCATGAAGCCAGTATCATTATCCATTGATAACAATATTCTCTACACTGCAGGGACTATATATAATGGCCACCATTACTGTCTGACTCCTTTTAACTGTTTTACATGAGTCCTACTGGCAATGCTGTCCATTGCCTTTGCTATTCCTCAGTCAATGTAGACAATTGGAAAAAAAGGCTGGTGAAATTGGTGGCAAAATGGAAAGGAAAAATGGAGAGTCTGTCTCCCCCCTTCAATATACACTCTTTCCCTCTCGCCTCGCCCCCCCCCCTCTGCAGTGCGTTCTTCCCTGACCATTTCTGTTTTCCCTGGCCAATCTTTTAGTTATTTCCTCAGACTGAGGGGTTGGCTCATGCTGCCGTGTGCTTCTTCCAGGGTATATAGAAAGACTGTCACAGTGGTGGTCAATTTCCTAACCTAGCTACGTCTCAAAACAGAGTTTTCTTTTTTTAGCCCTCAAATCAATCTGTGGCCATCACGCCACCACAACTGATTGCATGAATATTCAACATGTAACATCGTGCTGCTTATAGAAAAATTTATGGCAATGCTGTGCGTAAAGTTGGTAATCGATAATAGCAATTTTGAAGAGAACTCACTTAGTTTCCTGAAAATCTGCAAACAGGAAAAGTTTCAATGAATATTTGAACACTTCCAAGAATGCGTCAAATCCTCCTTCTTGAACGAAGAAATGTCTATGAGCACTCGATTTCAAACTCTTCCAGGGAGCGAAGTACTGGCTGGCAAGTTCTGGCAGTGCTCGATACGTGTTGCCTAGTTTTACATCTCCGAAGTCCCGAGAAAAGCTGAAACTCACTGCAGAACCATTAGGATCCTTTGCCATTATAATGTCTGGAAGCTCTCCGTGTAGTTTTTCCACAATTCCTTGTGCGCTTGTCTGGAGCACAGACAAAAGTTTCCGCATTCCTACTATGTCTGCTACAGCGAGAAACTGTAATTTTAAACTCTCTCCTTCCTTGAAATACAACCTACCGAGGGTCATTTGATCATCAGTTAGCAACTGTCCCTGATAAAACAGCTTTTGATCGCAAACCGGCGCTTGTATGGCTTCTTGTATCGCACTCTTTACGTCTCTGATACTTGTAGTGCTGAGATCAGGCACAGTTAGTTTGAATCTCCCGGTTTTGGTGTTCTTTTCACAGCTGTAATCCACAAAGAAGTTCATTTCTTGTACTGTCCTTTGGTGCTAAAATTGCTCTACTGATTTAAGAGATTACAATTATCCAAGAAGGTAGCTCGGGAGATTTTTAACCTCTTTCGCTGAGCAGGAAGGAAGATTTTATAATGAGCATCGTCATCGTGTCTTGTATTGGACCGGAAACAGGAAATCTGCTGTTCCAGGCCTCCTTGTCGTTTCCACTTGTCTCAGTGCAGCTCAACCAAAGCGTCAGTACCATTAATTTTTAATCGATCTTCATTTGTTCTCTTCTTTGAGACGACTCAACATGTAGATAGCACACTTTTGCAGAAAACTTCCAATTTGCAATTGAGTCAACACTCTGACCTCTACGATTGTCTTTCATCTAATTTATTTTAGCTCTTGCGAACAACGGAAAGAATTACGGACTACAGCGTGGGCCATTGCTTGTTAGGTAAAATCTCCTTGTCGCTATACCTTGAGGTTTCCATAGAGAACAGAATGGGAAGATGCACACGTGTGCGAGATAGTAACGGGATGAAATCTATTCAAGCTAATTGCGACCTTCGAGATAACAATAAAGTTATGGAGGTATAAAGCTAGTCGTATGTTCAGGTTGGTTCACTTAGGATTGCATTCTTTTTCCTCTTAAAAACAAATCTGCTCGCCAGTTAATCTTACAAGAAAAATGTTTCCCGTTAGCTTCGCTGGACTCGCGCAGAGTGTGACTCGTGATAGAATCAAGGATGATTCGCTAAAACCTAGTCAGGGTGTAGATACTGAGCCAACTTCTTCTCTCCAGTCTTCGCAGATTCTACTGATATAAATGAAAACTTAAGTACTTTAGGACCTTTCGGATACCCCGCAACTGTTGCGGTCCTCATTCGCAAGAGCATGGCTGGATACTCACGATCTACACTGGCTCATATCAAAAGGCTTCTGGTAAATGCAAGTTCTACGGCTACGCCGCTGAACAAAACTGCCCGGTATCAACCCTGCCAACGCCCAAGACGAAGACAGGTGCATAACTATTTGAATTGAGCGACACGTTGATTCCTTCCATAGCGAAAAATTACTTTTCTTTCAAAATAAACAGTTTTGATCATTATCATATCGATATTTCCATCATTAAATTCCTTCTACAAAACAACTCGTTCAAATTTACTCAACATTCGAGTGAATAAAATTTTACATGTGTATATTGCACTGTGGAACAACAGAGCGAATCGAGAAATGGTTTTTGTACTATAATGTGTGAAACAAAATTCCGTGTAATGCAGAGGTTTCTCGACTGATTTCCTGTGCGCTTTATTCTCAATTTGAAAATCATTACAGATGTGGGGAGAACAAAACGCCCTTTTCGCTTATCCGCTTATTTACACCACCCCCTACGTTGCCTTTTACAAGGAATATTGTCGAACGAAAACTCTGGCTTGAGAATTCGAGTATACAATTAAGTTTAGAAAAGGACTACATCGGTTATTGCTTTACTTCTCTTTGTGATTGGTCTCCCGAAGTCTCCTTGCCCCCTCCACCAATCAGAAGCAAAATTAAAACCAATCATGACCTAGCATTACCGTGTTTGTCCACACTTCAGGCAGTTTACTTGTTTTTACCTAAAAATTTCCATTAACTTTCATTCAGCGTAATTGGTCGTCATGACTATGATTTTAATAACAGCAACACTTTCTTTCAATTTCCTTCTGTTTCCTTACAAGTCTTCTTATCAGTTTGCTACTTAACTGTCTACAAATTTGATTAGTTCCAGATGCACTGTATGCGGTGCTTGAGAAAATCAAGACAACATTTTATACCACAAGCTGACCTTCAGCTGCAGGAGTTTTTGTTAAAAGAGATTTGAAACTACTTTGGGAATCATTCACTTTAACAGTGTCAGCGGGAGATGTTTTTGATGAGAGCAACACTTCCTTTCAATTTTCTTCTGTTTCCTTCCAAGTCTGTACGTCAGTTTGCAACTTAACCATCTACAAATTGAACACCATGTCTAAACCTCTCGTGAGAGCGAGCACAGATTTGGCTGCAACTTTCAAAGAAGGAGGTGTGAAAACATTGTTTGCGAGAACTGTCCTTAGTTTTTCCTTCCCATCACACGGTAGATGCCAAGACAAGCAAACCAGGTAGGGAAAGAGATTCTCTGAAAGTGCCAATTGCTGATTCTCCTCAATTGACAACATGTGCACTAAGGAGAAGATTCCAAGTTTTTGTGTTGATGAAGATCTTTGCCTGTTATTCTCAATCCTTCCAGCAAAAGCCAGATGAACTAGTGGCACCATTGTCATCCACACATAAGAACTTTTCTCCTCCCATTCTGAGATTTCATTAGGAACATGACTGTCTAGGAACAGATCAATAAGTTCATGTATAGCCACACAAGTATCTATATCCAGCTTGACTAGAGGAGCTGAGCACATTCTTGCCAAGGAGAGACAACAGTAATACCTGGTTCACAGAAAAATAACCTTGTGAGTCAATGAGTAGGATTAATCACCTTTATCTCTTAACACCAAGTATGTAAAAACTGAAGATAGTACAGTTAATTGCACTATCTTCAGTTTTTACAATATATTTGACCCACCCTGCAAAGCTATCCCAGGTTCATTGAAATGGAGTCACTACACAAATGTGAAGGAGTTTTCATACATAAAACCCATCACAGGTTGAACCTTCATTTCCCTAAGACCCATTAGGTGCTCCTGAAGGGCAAATAACATATTTCATTTATTACAAAACCAATAGGAAGGAAGGTATGATGCTATAATATCAATTTTGGAGAAATGGTTACTGATACACCACCAGCTAAAAATGAGTCACATACATTCCTTCATGATAGTATGCATTTTTTACTGTAACTTAAAGTAATTGCACAAAAAAGGTAAGTGAAAGCATTACTCTGTCATAATCACCAACCTTAAAGGTGTATTGCCATCTTTATCATTAAGAAACGCTTTTGTAATATGAAGCAGTTTTTCCACTGCTCCACAATTTACCAAAGACTGGGCAGATTTGACATTAAATGTGCAGTAAAACAATGCATTGGAAGCAACCTGACTTGAAAACAGTGAATATCCAGCAGGCTCTGATTGATATCTGTCTATCATAAAAAGTAGCTTGTTAACCACAGCTGGCATATTAGACACTTTCTCTTGAATGTTGGAATCACACTCTACCAATCTAGAAAAAGGATTAAAATTCAGAGTTATAAAAAAAATTAATTTAAGTTTGATTATAAAGTGGTTGATCAGCAATTCGACTAAAGGTGGCAGGCTGAACAATATTAACATGCAAATCCATGTAAATTATCGAACATCTGCATCAATCACCAATTAAAGGCCAAGTATTAAATGACATGTCAACTATAGTATTTACTTACAGAGATTGTATCATCATATTAATTTGGTAATTTAGCATTATCAATGGAGTTGATAACATAACTTGGCCACTGTAAAGAGTTTCAAAGCTGATGTTTTGAGCATTAGCCTTTTGTCAGAGCAAGAGCATTATATTATTACACAAAGCGAAGAGCATTATATTAATTGTAGGTCAGCATTTGAAAATAATTGTAACTATGCTAAAACAAACACAGGGGGACAGACAGGGACGGACAGTCATAAAGAGAGACACACAATCAGACGAGCCATTGTGAGATAAATACTTAAGAGAAAGTTAAGAGTGTGACTCACCCTGCAAAGCACCCAATTGCAGTTTCATTTACATTAACCACCATGCTGGACATGTCAATATGGCTAGTTTCCTTGAGGGGAACAGTTTGAAGTAAAAGAGCATCAACACTTAGGGGGAAAATATCCTTAGACAAAAGAAACCTGCGATCTTCAATTGTCTCGCCAAAATTCCACAAAGAGCAGAGACAACACATTTGGAGAAAAAGTTGTCTCTGATTAAAGAGGCATTCGAGTGGAAATTGAGTTGTGGCTGCTTCTTGCAAATTTTCATTTCTGTGGGTAAACAAAGACTGATGATCATAATTTAGACAGAAAGTTAAAAGAATATTGATATGTAACTTGATATCCCAAATACCTTTACTAACCATCTATCCATAATCCGAAATTATTGCACTCCTCACCCGCATCTTTAGCCTTTGACCTTTCTGGTTAATCTTGGAACACTGACTCCATTTAATTCAAAGAAAAATAAAACTACTGAACCTTTGTAGAACAGTACCTTCCATAGAAGCCACCATAAGCTTGAAGATGAGTTAGGACTTACGACTTGTCATGTTTCTGACATAGGTTTGAATAACATCAATTCTTCAAAACTTACATCATTTAGAGCCACAAATTTTACGAATCTATGGTCTCAAGAAAACAATTCTGAAACGAGGCTTTGTTCGTAATCAGTTCAGACAACGTTTTACATAAAAGGTCATAAAATGATATTGCTTGTCTGGAAAAAATGCCAAAAAATCATACCCTGCAATGTCCCTGAATAAGCCCTTTAAGCAAGCACCCGTTTCTCCTTGCCAGTGCCACGCCAGTATATTCTCGTTTGCCCTAAATGAAGCTTTGCAGGATTTGTAGCTACTTACAAAATTAGGTCCCTCTCTTGTTGCTCGGTCAAGAAAAGCTGCCTGGAAAATTTAAACACTTCCAAGAATGCGTCAAATCCTCGCTCCTGAACGAAGAAATGCCTTTGAGCAACAGTTCGTGGACATTTCCATGGTAAGAAAAATGAACCAAGTTCTTCTACAGTGTAAAGGAGCCGGTCATAAAACTGCCACACGTCAGGAGAATCTTCATTGAGATCAGGAAGCTTGTTTCCCGGCTTTTCCTCGATTTCTCGAGCACATTTCTTCAGTACATCCAGAAGTTCAATCATTCCTTGTATATCTGCCACAGCAGTGAATTGCAGGTGTAAAGTGTCACCTTCCCGAAAATACAGTCGACTGAGAGTCATTTGATTGTCTGCCAGTGCTCTTCCTTGATAGAACAATCGCTGGTCGCACACCGGCACCTGAATACGCACTTGTAACATATATTTCACATCTTCAATGGTTGTGGTATTTAGAGCAGGCACAGATAGTTTCGTTTTGCCATTTTCCCAGTTTCCTTCGGGGCTGTGGTACTCCACGTAAAACTCCATGGACTAATTAACTCGTGTGAGCTTACAAAACCTTTGTGTGTCTCGAAATCTCGCTTCGATCGATGTGGTACTTAGGACATGACTTTTTTCTCAGCCGATGCTCAATTTCCGCCATGTTGACAAACACTGTTTCTAATCAGTGTATGCAAACTCGCTACACCACAGGTTTGACTATATCGGCTGCAGCCGCTGAAATCGTCTCTTAATTTTATTCGATTTAATTTTTTTCTCATGATCTTTTTGTTATTGGTTTTGTTCTTTCGGTGATAATTGCTTGTTCTCTGAGAAGTGCAGCAGTAAATATTAATGATTTCCTAGCTTGTAAATATGGAAAGTACTAAGCATTTTTTCCTTCGTATTCCTTTTTGTGTCACGCGCGCATCTGTCACGTTTAAGAGCAACCTACATCAGAAAAGCATGTTGGGAAGTGTTTCTCTTAAAGATGATGGTGTGTATGTTGGTGTTGGGCGGTATTTCCGCAAAGTTGTGATTCCTTCAGAGCTGCACAAGTACGCAAGTCACTTATCATACGTTTCTTCACTTAGGTTACTAAGTTTCTTTGTCGATAAACATTCATTGTGACTTTTTTGTGGCGAAAAATCGTCAGGATAGTGCAGCGAGCGACAGTATTGTGACGATCTCGTTAATTGGGTCAAGTACCATTCAGAAAAACAATACGATTTGCCAAATTAAATCGGTTTGTTATGGAAGTCAATGTTGAACTAAAATGTTCGGATACAAGGGAAACGAAGCATTTAAAAATAACTGTAAATGACTGGGAAGGTAGATGTGTTAAGGATCTGAAAAAGATTTTTGAAGAAGAGATTCAAGTTCCATGTTGCGATCAGAAACTCTCTTATCAAGGAAGACAATTTGGGAACGATAACTTGTTTCCTCTTGTGAAATTATACCTTCGGGAAGGCGACACTGTTAGTTTAGAATGCATTTCACAAGGAAAACTCAAAGAAATGAAGGAGTTTTTAAAAGATATTAAGGATTTTTCAGACTTCATTACCAGCAAGAACCAAACTGAAATTTTGACATTCAACGAATTGACGAAAGATGACCGAAGCTCGCGTCCAAATTACGACCATGTAACTCAAGCATTAGAGTTGTTGTCATTTGACTTTTTCATTCCTTGGAAAAATGTCAAGTCCGTAGTCCACCGTCATTTCTTTGTTCAAGAAGGTGGTTTTGATGCTTTCATGGAAGTTTTAAAGTTTGCAAACAAAAGGTACACATTGGACGGAAGACTCATGGCAAAGTAAGTGTTAGCTTAGTGGTTCTATGGTCTAGTTTTAGAGTAGTTGACTGGAAAGAGATGATTTGGTTTTATGCACTGATTTGATGATGTGACGCAACCCTTCTGTACATCAATGCAGCATGAAAAGCCACTAGGCCCTAGAGCATAAGCTATCTATGAAATCTACACTCTTAATCCTCCCAGTATCAATGAACAATTCTCATGCAAATAAATTATTCTTGATTTTTCTTTTTTGTGTTACCATGTTCCCACCAGTAGCATGGCCCCATCTTTCCATCTTAAACCACATAACCCACAGTTCCCCAAGTCCCTCTGACAAAGGGCTAAATCTTGAGACAACAGGTGTAGAATCTCTATATGGAGCCCAATTCACGTTATCAACCTAGTTGATGAAATTAGATTACCTTGGAATATCAATGATGCAGCACCAAAAATTTACTAGAAACCTGTCCTTTGGTTGTTTGGTTGTCTCTATCACAAACATCTCAACAATCTGCCGTGAAGTCATTTTATTAAGACATTCACTTCCACCAAAGTTGTCAAATTGTTTGTCTGTATATTTCTGGGAACATCTATGATGTACATGTAACTCTAAAAATGTTTCTTTACCAATGCTTTGTACCTGATATTTTCATAGAAATAAATGTGCTCGTTAAAATGGTGGGTGACTTTGTAGAATCACTTTCTTTTTCATATTTTCTAAGGAAATATCTTGGAGAATGCAAGAAAGGTGATTTGAGCGTATTGGAAAACCACTTAAAAAGGTTGAATGACAAGCAGATGGGATTGCATGCAGACTGCCTGAGCTTTCTGTGGAATTTCTCTGAGACATGGCATGATCGCAGGTTGTTGATAAAGGAAGGAGGGCTCCCATATGTTGTCAAGGCTCTGCTCTCCAATCCTGACCAGTACCTAGTTTTTTCTGAGGAGTACTGGCAGGTGGCAAGGATCAATGAAACAGCTGTGGGCTGCCTTGTTCAGTAAGATTTCTGTTGTACTTTGTCATAGACTGATTACTGTATCGATCACAAAAATAGCCTAAGTCATTGGTAGGGTACTGATAAGATATTTTCTACAAGTGAACCTCAGAGACATCAGCCCAGGTTAAGTGCAGTAACTAGATTCTATGTTTGTATTGTGAATGAAGTGGTCCCATTTATGAACTTCAAGCAAATTTGTCTGCATATACTGTAACTTATAAATGAGGCTCTGAAAAAGTTCTTCTCTGCTCCTTAGGTATGCAGAGTTCCCTGATTGTCAACAAGTGATTGCTCAAAGTTCTGAAATTGTCAATAAACTGATATTTATGTTGGAAGCATCAAGCCAGTTGAGCTTTCCCTTGGATGTCACACACTCAATCATTTACACAGAATATGCTTCCCAGATTGCTGCAAATACTCTATTCTGCTGTGCATGCAGTGTGCAAACACCAAAGATTCTGGTAGAAAATGGTATGCATAAAAAGATGATAGACCTCATGCAGCAAGCTAATATTAATGACTTGGCCACCAGGTATAACTAAATTTTAAATGTATATTTTTTGATGAATTTAATTAAAATATGTTATTTGCTGGTACAGAGATACTGTATGTAGAGTAAAAAAATGGGTTTATGTCCTGAAGATGTTACCTTGGGTCTGCAGTGAAGGGTAGCTGCAAGGTCACAGTTTCTCACAAACAATATGTTACCTCTCAAAAATCAGACATTTGTTTCAAGTTAATCTCCCTCTCTTGTCTCATGAAATCCAAGAAAATGTTGCAAATCAATCCTCTTACCAATTGATTGAGTAAAATCTGTATGAAGCCTCTACAAAAGCCTCACACAGTTGTATTTGTACACAGTGCTGTATCATAAATTAACAAGCAATGACAAGAATTTGAAATTTCTGTTACACCCTTGACAGCCATTTTCCTCAATTAATCAAATGTCTTTACTCGTAGTTACTACTGCACCTTGTTCCTTGCAAGAATAAGGTCATCTGCATTGGTTCAGTTGGATTCCGAAACAGCTCAAAGCATTGATGATCTCATTGTCACCTTTCTTGAAGAATACTCACCTATTGATGTGTCAACTTGGGAAGAAAAACACAACTATGTCTGGGTCACCATGATACCCTTTGTAAGTTTGGCCTTTTCAGGAAAACAATATGAAAGGGAAAAATCTGCTCTGGTTAGCAAGAAGTCGGAGAAAGAAGGTTATAGCTCAAAACCTCACCTAGCTGGAAGTAAATGTGATATCATGGAAAGGAAGGTGGATACAAAAGTGGGAACAATGGTTGGGGGCAATCAGTCTCACTCAGGCAAACATGCTGATTCCACAAGTTATAGTCCTGGATCCTGGTTCACTGGTACAACATCATGTCCAAGAATGCTTGGGTCTTTAGAGACTCAACAACTTGGACTTTTTACACTGGAGCACATGCTGAATTCAAGCGAAAACCGACAGCTTTTGGATGAGGAACATTTGTTGCCATATCTCCAATGTTTGTGTTGGTATGTTGGTGCAGAAGATGGAAGGATTGTGAGAGAAGAATTGACCAAGCATTGGACACCAAGTCCTGCACCTCTTAAAATAATTTGCAAATCAAGTCTGGCTTTTCAACATGGATTTGAGGCTGCTTTTAAAATGTGACAAACTAAACAATTATCCATTCCCTAATTTGGTTGTTTGTCGCACAAATGTCATACTGGTCAGTAGTGATAAGTATTTTTGTCGCAGCTCAGTGCATAAGAGTTATCAACAAGGATCTCTTCTCACTCACCAACATAACCCCCTCCCCCCCCAACATAACCCCCTCCCCCCCCAACCCATGCATGGAATTTTTAAAATTAAGAACACCCTTAAACAAGTTTTACAACATTTTTCATCTGCTCCTTATTTATCTATCTTCAAAAAGTTGCTATTAAAAGTTGCCATTCTACCAGAGATTTCTGAATAAAATTAGATTCAGGAAAGAACTGAGGTGCTTACCTCTTGAAGGAAATTTTACCAAATGGAAGAACTTTGTTTTTTACTCCTATCCACTTTTGAATTTTCAGCACTTTAAACCGATTTAAACATTGTCACAATGGGAAAAATTAGCTTCATGATGTAATAGTTGCATGTACAAATAATGGATGTAGCTAATTTATGTATAAGAATATTGTACATACGTACTTAATGCACAGCAGTTGTAAGCAATTGGTCTATTTCCACAAGTTTTAATTAGTATAATTATTATAATTGACTTATGGCCTTTGTCTTGCTAAGTACAGCAAATCTCTCCCTTGTTATACAAGCAGTATTAGTTGATACATGTGATTTAAATAATGTGTAGTAAGTTATTATTTTAACTTTCTAACACTATTCTTAGATGATAAATGTACCACAAATATTTTAGTACAAACATTATATTGTTGGTTTGATGTAACACATGATGCACAGGACTTATAAATGTGATGGGGATGTCTCTTGTTTTTCTTCACCCTGGCCTGCTTTTTTCTGTTCATTTATCTCAACCTGACAGCCAGGGACAAGCTTTCCATTTGGGTGATGCAGGAACTAAAAAACTAATCTTGGCTAATCGTAACCCTCAAAGACTCGTCTCACTTTTCATGGCTAACCCAAATTTTCCTTTGTTTTCTGCTATTAATCTGACTGACTCCTCTTTCGTCTTCTCTATTGCGCCTAAATGCAAGCAAGGTAATTAATTTTTTGAGGCGAAAATAACCCAAGACAAACCTCCTCTGAGCTTGTAAATTGCCAGAGCTGTCTTGTTCATTTCAATCAACAATTTATGTTTCCCTGAGACAAATTTGGTGGGTTACAAATAACAAAATACTATGCAAACAAACCAATCCTTGAGCTATATGACAGCCAGTGTTTCACTTTGTCCAATTTGTTAAGTTCTCAATCCTTCTGAAGGATTCAATCAAGAAGCTTTAACACATAACATCATAGGTTTGATTTAGAATCCAAACAGCAAAGACTTTTTTTTCTCTTTCCAATACTTTCTATAGACAGAACATCATGCAGAGTTACAAGATGAAAATGACACAGGATGTTTAACAGCAAAATTTTTAATATTATTTAACAGTTTCATCAGCTATTCAATACAATTTATTAAAACATCATGTACATTAATTAAAAAAATCCCATTATTGTATCACTACATTTTAACTTAAATTACTTAGCTAAGGTTTACAAAGTGTACCTACATCTCATTAATCATGCTATCAAAATTTGGATCACTGTAAAACTATTAAAACATAATTAAGACTACTTTATGTTACAATCATACTAAGATACAATTATGTCAAAATTCTTAACAAAAGTTTGCATACCACTGTAAAGGCAATCTCTACAGAGAAAAAATTATAAAAGCCCATGAAGACCTTGTCAATTTTTGCTTTTTCAGGGAAAGTGGAGACAGGGGTAAGGCTTGAGCTTGAGAAGGAGATGAGCACCATGCAAACATGAAGAGAGCATGAATTGTGGGTCATGCATCAGAAAGGGATTGCAAAAACCGTTCACCTTTGTATCCCCTGAAAAAAACACATGCTGAAATATAATCTCTCCAAGTTTCATGGGACAAAATAGTGTAAAAACCTTTAACAGGCTGTTCTCAACAACACTAGTGCCTCCTTATGAAGCAGCTGTTACTTAAAAGAAATGCTCAAGCTTATTAGACTTAGCAAGACTATAAAAATATGAGTAACAACCCAAGACATAACATCATGATGCACACATTTTAAGTCAATCATTGTGATATTCATGACTTATTCAAAATATTGGTTTGGTGCAGAAGAAAATCACATGGTCAAGGAAGGAGTGGCAGGAGCTGAGGGGTCCTGGGGTGCATGTTCTCTCCTCCCTTTATGAGTCAGAATACTTTTTATCAATGATTATCAGACAAATCTTACACCTCAGGTTTGAAGAATGTATGAATCCCAACGAGCAACTTAGGATAGTCTGAGCATCCAGATGAAAATGTTACAATAAATTAAAGAAGGGTGACATGACTCATTCAAAGCACTTGGAAATCACTGCAGGTTGGCGTCCACCGGCATGCTCATTCCCTGCTTGATTCTCTTGATCAGATAGAGCTTATCTCGACCAGCCTGGAAAATAAGGGAGAGAGTCATCAGAGTAAGGGTGCAACGTAAAATCCCTGAAGCTTTTTTGCATCACCCATCTGTGTCAGACTGATCACATCTTGTTTGTCTTCAATCCTTTAGGACTGTGCAGGTTTACTGTGTCTATAGAAATGGATTTTTTTTTTCCTTACACAGCTTCAAAAATATTAATGGCCTTTAAATCATGATAGAGTAATGGAATGAGACATAGAAGCATTATCAAGGTCCAAAAATCAGCATAACAATTGAAAACAAGACAAAAAACAAGCTCTCAGTGAAAAAAATTGATAAGAAACAGAAACTGATGAGACATGATCCATGCAAATCCTCATCAAAAACAAACAAATCCAAAAGTTTACTGTTCACCTTTTTCACTGGTTCTAATAAAAAACTCAAACTTGTAAATGAATGGACCTTAAAATTATGAGCAATCTTTCTTTTTCAGCAAAGTCTGTTGCATATGTCAAAAAATTCAGCACAAAAAAATTTGTTAACTTGTCATGTACAGCTTTGAGGGTGAGATTTTCTGCGCAACAGACTTCACCAAAAAGGAGGTACTTCACGTAGTCTAATTAAACCTTAGTCCCATAAGTTAATGCATAGAATAGTCCTTGTAAACTGCTGTAGCCTACTACTTACCAAGGAAATTTGTTCTTTCAATAGTTTTATCTTCTTTTCATTTGAATCCTTGAGCATTTTAAAATAATAGACAATGATCCTACAGTAAAAAGGAAATTGTAATAATTGTGAATAAAGTCATCTATGATCACAAAGTCTAGACAGAAACTGTTTGAAAATACTCATTATGACAGAAACAACATTATTACTCGTTTATAGTTCAACAGTCTCCAGAGGGGATACTCCAGTACATTTATTAATTATCATATTAAATGAAAAAATATATACATCTGTCAGAATTATGCAATCAGCAGTTTTTTACTGACTGTTTCAGGATCAGAGCTAGAGTAATACTACTAATCAGAATCATTTTAATATTCACAAGAAGTCAAAGAGAACTAAAATTAAAAATAAGCAAGGAGATTGGTTGAGAGAGTGGCTAAAGTTTTTCCCTGAGCAAGAGCTAAAACTCTAAAAAACAGAACCCGATGGAGGACGGAAGTGGTTAATGGCCTATGCTCCAACCGGAGCTAAGGGAATATATAAGAGCTAAAACTAATGTGATGATGTTAATGGAAGTGTCCTGTGTACTATAATTTAACCACAAATAGCTGTTCAACTTTTACAATGACTTTCATTCTTACCCAAGAATACAGAACAACAATGCGATAAAACTTGCAGAGGATGCATACTCTATGGTTACTTGCAGCCACTTTGGAAACTTGTCAACTGTTTCTGTTACAACTTCGTACATGAAATTGTTCCCTCTAAACACAAAAAAAACAAGCAACATTGTGAGTGATTTAGAGGATATTGTAAATATCTGCACAATGTAAGACTTATCATACCTCTAAGGAACAAATGTGCAGCAAAAATGCAGCTAAATAATGAATAAAAACTTACCGGAAAGGACCACACAATTGTGAAGGGTTGGTTCTGTAAAGAAAATAAAAGTAATTATTAATTCTAGCACAAATGAGGCTTGAAAAGTGAGCTTGACACTTCCTCAGGAAATTATAATTAGGAGAACAAAGCTGGAAAACATCTGCATACAAACAATTGATGTCTTAGGACAGTACCTCACTAACTATAACTATCAAAGTTGATAGGAAAAGAGTAAGTCTGCTTATTGGTTTATTAAAACCTGTATTGCTCCATCTATCACATTTTGCCTGGTGACTCAAATTAAAGGATCATATGCCTGTTTTTGCTCCAGTTATTATTTTTCACAAACAAAGCCATTCTTGTGTAATTGAATTAGTCTAGTAGGATATATTTTGTTACAAGTTTAACAGCTTTGCGATTGCCTCCAGGTAACCAGGAAAGAACTGAATTTTGAAGGTTACAGACTAGCTGCAATTAAAGTCATTTCAGAGAAAAAAGTCAGAGCTAAATTTATGCTTCAAAACGCGTGTCCACGAAATTAGGGCATTTCTGTGACCAACTGAGATACAAAGCTGTTAAGGGAGACACAAATTTGAATTAGTGTTTTCTTGATCCTGATTAAAAATAGTGTTTACATTTTATTAAATGTATCATTTGTGGAGTGTCTACAGGTTTGTAAGGCATCTCAGCACCAACAGGATTGACATTTCAGTATTGTTACTCACACGTCTGATGACATTATAGTATATCCTATCACAATCATGGACAGAAAGAAGGACACAGCCAGTAAAAACAGAAACAAAAGGTTCATCCTGGATGCTCTGAAAGGCCTCATGGATGCACGGCAGTTCATCACCACACTTGTCTACAAGGAAAAAAAAGAAATGCAGTTTGTAACAGGATAATGTGCATTGCTATTGCTTGACTGTGCTTTACAACTGGTGTAGAAACTAATTCCATTCTCTCCATCCATCAGATACGGAGCTAAAACCAAATGCAGTTTAACCAATCATGTTTATCTGTGCTTTAGCTTCCTTTTAATTTTGAGTTCCAGTTGTTTCCATTAGATATTTTTAACCTATTCTAATTGGCCATTGCGATTACTTCATTTTTGGTTTTTCAAACTTAGTCAAAAGGTGCTCTTTTAAATAAATGTATTTACTGGTACCATGCATGCCTCTTACAGTCTACCAAAGTTTGCAATGTATGCAAGACAATTGAATTCATGTCACCATCATCGATCAACTTTTATCATAATAGTCATTTTACTGCATGGCTGCAAATACCAAGAGGAAACACAACTACATTTAACTTAATTTATCTTAAGTCATCCCCCCTTGCCCATATCTTCCAAAACCAAACAAGTTTGACCAAAATTCCTTCAAGAAACTGTATCAAGGGTTTAAGGAAGCAGTCCCCTTTCAAGGGTATATTATAGGGCATTATTAGCGTAGTAGTTAAAGTTACAACTTTTAGAACCTTAAATCCACCTCTTTTAAATATCTTCTTAATGTTTGTAGATATTTCAGTGAGTTTAAATAACGACTTTACATTATGAACATACTCAGCATGCCGTTCTTATATTTCATAAGAAAAGCTCACTCACTCTATCTAATCCTATTAAGTACCTACCCTTTTCACATAAAACAAGATAAAGAGCTTTATCACTTGAATAACTGGTAACATAGGGCAGAAGAACGTGCCAATCCTAAATGAAGAGAAGATATCATATTGTGGTACTGTGCAAACAAGAGAGGAAGCATAGAAACACTGTACATGAAGAGAACAAACAAAAATATTTAAACATTTTGTACTCAGTGCTTTTAAATGGAAATTTTGATCAGCGAGTAAGCATAAACAAACAAAAAAAAGTTTTGTACTGTTTGTGACCTCTCATTATAAACTGCATGATACTGCATGCTGTGCTACTATAGGATCAAAGTACAAATGATTGGTGAAAGGAAGAGAGAAAGGAAAGAAAAATGAACAGAATGAATGGTAAATGAATGGGAGGGGAGGATTAGGCAGGCACCAGGCAGGAGAAATAATAGATGTCAGCTTACAAAAAATTTCTTACCAACACAGACACTGTGAATATATCAGATCAATGACGTTTCTTGAAATGTCAAAGCCAGGTGGACCCAGTGCTTGGCAACACTGACAGTTAACAATAACAATCCTGAAAAAATATTTTAAAAAAATTCCTTGTAGCATATTTATAACATTTCCTTACAGTTGAGGGTGTTTAAGGTTCAATCACAGCTCAAAAAAGCTGAGGCTTTATAGGCAGTTCATAAAAATTCAGCTACTTCAAATTTGTTTCTCCTTAATGCAAACTGTGAAAATTCCCCCAAAATTGCAGACCATGAGCTCTGGCACTTCCCTTCTCTCAATGTAATCAATTCAATTGCAAGTCATTGAGGTCCTAATTGTGAACACTATACTTAGCTTGTTGAGCCCTCAACAAAAGTAAGGTAAAAAGCTCTTGTGGTAGGAGAGGGAGGTAGGCCAAGCAAATTTAACTAGTTTTCAACTAAAATGTCAAGCAAGAATTACACTCACCTTCGGACAAATTCACCAAAGAAGGTTGATAACAACAGGAAAACAAAGTCAACAATGACAAGTCGATAGAAAGCGTATCCAACATAATTTTCCCAACAGTTTTGAATAAGCTAATTATAAAAAAAATTAAATTAGTCTGTGTGCTCCATCTTCAGAATCAATACAACCACATTTCACTTTAATTTCTTAAAGCCAATGAATCAAGTTAACAGATGTCAACAACTATCAGCACCACACAAAATAATGACCTAACATTACCGATGGATTGAAACTGACTACTCACAATCTACCTACACTAATTGAGTCTTATAGCCATGCAATAACATGCATTATGGCCAATCAGTTTTCACAAACCGGACTTATAGCATTCAACTGATAACAACTCTTCACTTGACTCAGATTTATAATGACTTCCACTCAGGTTGTCAAAACATCGGTCTCCACTATCAACAACAGTCCTTCTCAGGACAACCCTCACCTGAACAATCAGACTACATTATCAAACGTTACCCCCTGGTTAAAAGCATTTGATGAGTTAGGGGTGGCTGGTTTACCAAGAAGAAATTTCTATTTTACCAACAACAACAAGCAAATAAAACATGTTGCTTTTTTACAGCGCTGGCTTTGACATGAGATGCACAATAGAAATCATTGCTGTGACACTGATTTACATACAAATGTAAGATAATACATTGCACCACAACATGACCAGCCATTAAACACAGGAAGCCAACCATTTCATATTTCATGTTATAATCTCTTACTTTGTCACACCCCTTATCTGAGCCGATAAGTTCCCCATCATTCCTGCATTGCTGAATGTCCACAAACAACAGGACAACAACCATTGTTACCGAAATCAGCATCATCAAAGTGGTTCTGATTAAAAACAAAATGCATTGATCATAAATATGCAGACTGTACACAAATTGTTAAAGTCTAGAATTTGATTGAAGATTAATTAATTTCTTTATCATAAAAAAATATGTGTTCAACATCTCAAACTCTCACTGAAACCCATAACAACTATTGTCTTTAAGGTTTCAACTAATAAGTCCCACCCCAAATACAGCACTGAACTAGCCAGAGGTACAAGTTGGCAATATCCACTTCAAACAGTTTTGTTCACATCAATAATGATAATAGTTAGTCCAGTTTATAAAAATTAAAATGGTTCAGTGAAATCCTACAGTTACATAATAATTCCTAATTAATGACAAAACAAAAGATAAAGCAGGCAAACAAAACCCCAGTTGATTGAAAACATCCCAAATACTTAATATGCATCAGGTCAGCTAGTGCTTAAGCTGCAACAAAGTAATAAACTGAAATTGATTGGTTTTAAAATATTTAATCTACTTGATTTTGATGCATTTGCTTCCAAAAAAGAGTCCAATATTAACATATTACTTGTTAATCCTTCATAATAATAATAATAATCCTTCATTATTACCTTGCCAAATTGACATTTATGGCAGTGCGAGGACTCTTGTATCTTTCTAAAGTTGCAATAATGCGAAAGGCCATTGGCATAATCAGGTTGATGCCAGATACCACTAGTGGAAGCAAAAGTTTCTCCAACACAGCAACGTTATCCTTGATGAAAAGAAAGCACATTCATAAGTTATACCACGTTGTAGAGGAAAACCTGAGTGAAACATATAACAATGAATGTGGGAAGAGTTTAAAAGAAAGAGCTGAGGAAAATCTCTGACTGTCATCTGGCATTGACTAAAACATTAGTTTAGTCCAGGTGTATACACTTGTATATGCATAAAACAATTTTTTTGCATTCCCTTGTTTGACACACTATTATTAAAATGCCTTACTTCAAATATAAAATGAAATGTAAATTAATTTTAGTAAATTTTGGATTTCTATCCACTAATTATCTCTCACAGATGTGACATTTTGAACATTCTGAAATAAATGTTCTTAGTACCCTGAAAGGACCCCAAGATAACTGATAGCAGCATTGATGTGAATACTTGGCCAGAGTACTTTGAACTGCACACAATACCCTTCAGTCCATGAAATCATATGCTCCAATATGGACAATTTACTTATCACAAAATTCATTTTCACTAGCTGTCAAAATTTGACCCTGAAAATGAAATTTGATTGCAGTCCATGCCTAAGCCTGCCAGATCTTTGAACATCCTCACTCCTATTCATTCTCTCCATTAAAAACTAATCTGATAGTTAATAGCACAAAGGAAACTATTTTCTTACTGATGATTGTAGTGAGAGGCCTGCAGAAAACAAGATGAGATATGCTGATCCTCCCATCAAGGCCAGGACAATGAAATTTGTGAAGACACGAAACCAAAACAGTTCGCACTTTTCATTCAAAGTACGGGTCACTGAATAACTCTGTTCAGCAATGGCTTCCTGTTAAGTGACAATGCCAATAATAATGGAGGATTTTCAGTTTCTTTTATGGGGATTTATGTTAAAGAAAATTGGTCACAAATAATAATTTTTATTGCTAAACCAAAACAAAGTAAATTATTTAGAGTGTGTATGAAGGCTGTTCATCACTCACTGAGTTACAAAACATTTGAGAGGCGAGGTTGTATTTGTTTAAGAGCCAGAGGCTGGAAAGGAGCTCCTACAATTTCAGGTGCTGTTCAAGTATCACGGAGGTTTGGTGATAACCTAACAAAATTGACTACGCAACTGTGTTATGGGTTTCAGGTGGAGAGCTTCTGACCCAGGAACCAGGAAATGGGAGTTGATTTAAAGCCAGCCAAAGAGAAAATTTTGGGTCAAGGTGACTGAAAGATGCTGGTCAGTCAGTGTACGTACCCTACAAGAGATTCTACTAACTAAAGTTACTATTCCCTGGCCAGCCAGTGTGCCCTAGAAGGGATAGTACCGTACCCTGCATGGTCAGCCTGTGCCTTAGAAGATAAATAAGTTAGTAAATTGTGGCCTTGGAGGTATACCACAGGCATGAGAAACCAGTGAGGGCTACTTTCACAGGTGGTTCATACTTTGCTCTCCTTGATTTCAAGTCTACCTAAATTAATAGACTTTTTAAAATATCTGAAACAATGTGTACACTTCACGCTTGCAGCAACATAACTTTACAGTCTGTGAGCATTCCCATAGTCATTAATCAAGGTTATGAATTACCCTTAAAGTAGCAACTATTCAAATACTGACCTGAAGTTCATTAAAAGCACTTTTATGTTTTAACAATGACGCACTCCTGTCAGTGATTCCATAATCCCAAGAGCAAAACACTTTTGATGCATAGAAACTAAATTCATCCCCAGAGTATATGTAGTTCTCTCTGTAGGAGTTTGCCATACTAGACATAATGAAAAAACAGTAACTTTAACTTTTATGGCTAGTATAGAGCAGAGATGGGAATTAAAGTCACTGTATTGATATTTTTAATGTTTAAATGTTAATACATTTGAAACTCGACTGTCAAATCACTAACAGAAAATAGCTTTCTGGGAGCTGTTAATGCTGAAAGATTCCAGAAATGGGCCTGTGGGTGGAAAGAGGCATTATGAGAGTATAGTGTCTAGCCTATGAATACAATATAATGTTCTCCATGAGAAGTATTTTGAGAGTTGACTATCTGGTTCAAGAACTCCACAGAATGTTCCCACACAGGGCATGACTCTCTGTCACTTCCAGCAAGAGAAAGTGGGAAAAACTTCGACTGACACCCAGGGTCACCAACAACTGTAGGTGCTGGACTTCAGCCTTAATGGCCTATCATCAAAAATGCTTTATATTGCATGTTCATACAGTCGTAAGAACATATGCCCCTCCTATTAATCAGTTTGGTTGTATATTTACCTGTACACAAGCATTACCAGACACAACAGCAGATAGCCACCTCCAACACACAGGTATGCCATGGGCATGTTATACTCAAAATCATCTACTTCAGTTATACGTTGGTTGGTGTATGCACCATAGTACAATTCTGTGGCAGCAAACCAGCCCTGAGGCAAAAATCAGACACATAAAATTTATTTTAATGTTAAAGCTACATGTATAATCTTAAGCTGTTATGTAATTAGAAAGGGTTAATATGGGGTGGCGACCTTCAACCCAATGTCAAAGTTTTGTTTTAACACCCTGCTTCCCTCTCAATTTTTTTTCATTTCTTCCAATTTTCTTGTTACTAGCATCAACAACTAAGGGGGGAGGGTGGGAGGTTGATTCCACACTTATGAGGAAGATTTAAGAGTTTTCATCACTAGATGTACTCCAATTTCCCAAATCAAACAGAAACACCATTTGAAGTTACATTATTTTTGTTTCATGAACACAAGTGTAGCAGGATAACACTTTCCGTGAGTACAATATTTATTTTTATTACTCAGTATAACACCTCACCAGTCAACTGCATAGTGTGATTCCCTGGGTAGGGCCAGGATTGTTTTGAATGATAGTGAGTGATGCCAATGATAACATAGGGAGATGCTGTCATCTTCTGGCCAATAATTACCCTCATGTTATTGAAACATCAGTCACCCTTATCTGAACTACCCTCCTGAGGCTCCATAATACAGCTGTAGAAAACCACACTACATAATCACCTGGTATTACTCTTGGATTCAAGCCATTTACTCTTTAATTGGCTATTACCTCTCCTGTGAGCAGTTCCCATCCTGTGAAAGAAGCATTGTTGCTCTCTGAGCTCTGACCATAGATAATTTGTGGTATGAACAGGAAAAAGATTGTTAACAGCAGTATCACAATGTTAAGAAGGAACAGCCAGCGCAGTAACACAAAGTATGACATCACTCCTGAACCAAACATTCCTGAAGAAGAAAGAATATATTCATATTGATTGATAACAGGTTAACCAGCAACCCTACAGATAGATACTGACAATGATCACCCAGAATAAGGAAAAGATATTGAATAACTGAGTGTCATGATTGTGAAGACTAATATTGGAGGGAAGGTGTTGTAAAGATGGTAACAGAGGAGGATGAAAGTCTCTTGACTAGCAAGGAAGTCACTATAGCAGCCAAGCCACATGCACCTGTCAACACAACACTGACAAACAGGTATGTAGAATGAATTCCCACCCAGAGTTCAGGGGGGGGAGGGGGGGGAAGGGCCAAAGGAAAGAAACAAAGCAAACCACAGAGGTAGGCATCCACTCATGTACAAGCACATGTATCAGCCCACTGTTCATGTTACATCTTGGTCACTATGAACAACAATTAAGTAATAATAATTAACCCTTTACCCCCCAAATATCTATCCTAACAATATCACCCCTGAATCTAACATTAAGGTCACAGGTGTAAAGGAAATGATCACAAACTAAAGAAGCTCTTGATTGTTAAACAAATTCTCTTTGGTAGCAGCTTAAGAACTGTACAGAGAACGGTAAGGAGAATGTGCATAATGATGTTAGGGTGTTAAAGGTCAATACGTCCTACATCTAACACTAACCATGAATTAATTTTAGATGACCCCTCCACAAATCCAAGGAATACAGAATCTCTTTACAGCCATCCTTAAAATGCTGCCAGCCCTGATAAAAGTGTACAAAAGTATGTAATGTGTAGACTAAATCTATTTAAAATAATCAATTAAAGAATCAATCAAAAAATAAATTAAATTATCAACTCAAATCAAATTGTAAATTTACCATTGCAAATGCAAACTTGAATTGTTTCCAGGCACTAATTCGCTTTGTTTTCCCCCTTTGAATTGCTGATGTGGCAACATTCTCTCTGCAAAACCATAAGTCAATTAAGGTTATTGATCAGATCACACATCAGTTTCATAATATCTTACTGAATTTTTCATTGCAACAACTTTCAATTATAGTTTGATAATCAAGCTGTTTCTAACTCTTAAGGTTGAAGAATGAGTTTCAAAATATACACTCTTTAAGACATTGTATATTAGCTGCAAAGGGAATTCAACAACTGTGACAACCCATTCTGTGTAATGCAGCCTCAAAAAAAATTGCTGCAACACATCACTGTGGAAAGCATCAGCTGCAACAACACACATCAAGTGACACAAGGAATTTCTGGGCAAAATCTTCTCTCAAAAATCCTGCAGCAGTGCTCCAGGATTTTATCGGTTCAATCTGTCAAATGCACACAGATTAGTTTTCTTTTTTTTTCTTTGCAACTAATTCCAGAGACAAATTTTAGTCTCAAAAAAGTAGCAAGATTTTCATCATATGTCAAAGGAGGTAAATTGTTGTCGCAATCTACAATGTATCACAGCAACTTGTCATCTGGTGGTCTTAACAGAACAGGCCTTATAAATTGACTACCAAGTAAAGCTGACTAATTATTATTGTGCAGTTCCTCATCTCTTTCTGCAATATTTTACAAAATCTTTCCACCATAGCATTACCAAAGGGTGATTGACAACTTTTGGACAATAAGTAATGTGGCTAACCTAAGACTGCGCTTTCGTCTGATTGATGTGGGCATTTCCTTTATAGACTGTCTTCTCTTTGTCAGTTCTGCAAATTCTTCTGGTGTAAACTCTGTATCACGAAGCACTTGATCTTCATAGACCCTTTCAGTATCACCTCCACTGTCACGAGACAAACTTCTCAGGGAGGCACGAGAAGTTTGAGCTCTGCTCTTCAAAGTCCTTCGTACCCCCTTTTTCATTGCATTTTCTGATGGAAGACCCCTGATAGAACGGAACTGGTGACTGGGCATACTCTTTTCCAACTGCTCTCCATATTCCCATGATTCATCTTCATCGAAGTCAGCAGTAACAGCTCCATCCTGATCGTCGACAGGTCTCACTTGAACCAGGCTTGAGGCATTGCTCTGATAGGTGGCTGTAGATGCCATTGACTCTTGGGATGGTACTCTCAATAAATTTCCACCAACATCAGGATCTTTAGTTATTAAGTTTAACAAAAAACCTCAGTGAAATTACCCCAAACTGACCTTCTAAAGAACATTACTGCTACTTTAACCCTTTCACACCCAGGAGTAATTAACTTGTAACTTCTCCCTAAAAAATCTGTACATTATCCAGCCACCAGGTAATGAGGATACTCAAACTTATCAGGAAGAAGTTTTTATCTTGAACTAACACCAAATTCTCATAACTTATTTACAAGGAATTGTAACAATAATATCTTGGGAGTTAAAGGGTTAAAAAGGATGAAAATAAGGTGTCAAATTTAGTCCAATGTATGTAAGTGTTGTTTATAATACACGAACAGATTGGTAATGATCTGGCACTAAATTCATTACCTCTTGAGATTTTGCCGCGCTGAAATTGTAACATAGCCAGTATGATTTTACCAATCTTAGAAGTTTGCCTCGATCGCTTTGCTGCAAGCTTAGTATCAACCCGAGCTATCTTTTGATTGTCACATCAATTGTTTATGCTGTACATTAACCCTTAGTTCCAGCATATTATCATCAACCCGACAATTTTCGTAAAGGACCGTTAATTCGTACAGATTTCGTTAAAGACGAGTCTCTGGATATTGAAACAAAATATTATGGCCACAAGTAATACACGTAAATTCCCACGATTTATCTGAAAGTGTTTTCAAAATTTGCACCTTTGATATCTCCCTTGGGAAATTTACGAACAATAAGCCACCTTGCTTGGCTATAAACGTAGTGTTTCTTTTTCTTCCCGACATTCATGCGTTTTAGGATTAACCTCAAGATTTCAACACCACTTCATAAAATCTTGATGGATCTGTAGGAAAAAAATTTGATGCGCTTTCCATGATGATCGAATGTTTGTATAACAGTTCGATTCGCGACATGTTTTCTTCGTGATCGCAACGCCCTAGGACAGCGCTTTGGGACACCTCTTGTATATTTGAATAGAATCAGAACAACACATCATTAGAGGTATTAGGTTCAACACGAAAGCTGTTTAGATTGACGAATTACTCCTACCTTGATCGATCAACTTGAAATGATGGCTTGTGGCTAGAATCGGACTGATCGCTCGTCTTTCAACCCGAAATTTTTTAGCAATTGCTATGCAAAGTACGTCACGGCATTATTAGCATATGAGAAATTTTTTGAAGTTTCCATAACAACAAATTTATTCTTCTTTTCGGTAGCTAACGTGTATGGACAAGGACTAATAGGACTGAACTATTTCCTCAATAAACCAATTTGTTACGATTCTCGCCGTTCAGGACCCTTGCGTTTCTTTCCTCACAATGCCGTATGATCTTTGCACAAACTCAGAGTCAGAGAAGTAGATTTTAAAGATCAGAATTGATTCAGTTTGTTCTGAGCGATTATTATGTAAAACTAGACTTAATTGAACTTATCCAGGCATTCAACAAGAAATCAATAGAACTGTTGTCCATCCCTTTAGCTAAGCTGTTTAGAAATAACTCAAGATCTTACCAAAGTTTTTGTTTACAATACCCCCTTCTTCGCTGGACTGTGCATTTTCTTTGTTTCCCTCGGCACTAGGACTGAAGTCGAGAAAGCTACTTTGACTCGCAACTTTAGATAAATGTGCTTTCGATCCGGACATGCCAGAGGGTCGACTGATGATCGTAAAATTGAAATGTTCTATTCGATAACTACAAAAGACCGAAATTTTTCAATACTCTACACCGTCGTAAAGATACAGAGACAACCTGTGCCCATTCAAACGCCGTTTATCAGCAGTAAATCAGTTGAACGTAACCGAAGAATTTTGAATAAATTTGTTCTGTTATTTACCTATGAAAAAGAGTGAGTGAAGTTGTGTGACATACGGAAGTCAAACTGTTCGTTTCCTCCGATGAGGGGGCGGGGAGATGTGAATTTCTGACAATAACCAGTGATTTTCAAAGACCGATGAGTTGGAAGTGGGTTGGATTTGTCGTTCGATTCGCGTTTTCAATAATCAAAAAATTAATAAGGATTTCAAGGAGATTGCATGGGCTGTAAAGTGAAAGAGTCCAGAATAATGTGCCGATCAATTCAAAGTTGAACTTCCCCACCCTCCTCCCTTAGCAACCCATAGGCATTTGAACCTTGCCCGGGTGGGGCGGGGAATTTGAACCGCTGTTATACATGTTTTTTTTCTTTTAATTTTTAATATGAAAGAGTTGAAGGATAAAGGATCCCCTTTCACGAGCAAATGGCTTAGAAGGAAATTTTTATATGTTAGAATTATTCTCACCTGGGAATAACTTAACAACGGTACCAAAAACCAAAATGTGACTTTGCTAAATTCTACAACATCGTGGGTAAAAGAAGAGTTCATTCGAAAAAAAAAATTGTACATCAGTCGTGTATCTGGACGCAGTGTTGCCCAGGGGGAGGGGGGAGGGGGGAATTTTGAACAAATCAATCTTTAAGAGTTCACCCGCCGGGGGGCTTTGCCCAGGGAAAATTTTGAATCTTCCAATTGATCGACGCAGAACGCAGTAGAAAGAGCTGGAAGTTCAACTAGTACAGATCGTGTATATGTTTCATTATGTATACGTACCCCCAAAACCTCCATTCCCATATCCCCACTGATATGTGTATCCCTTTAAACATGGCTGTTGGTTATATGTGTATATCCAAATCTCCCCCCCCCCTCCCTCTTAGCTCTTGGAGGTACAGATGTCATTCCGTGATATTAGCCAAAGGGCACTTTCAGAATTTTAATAACTCTATATCGTGTTTGTGTTTCGAACACGTAGACTACAACTTAAGAAAGAAAGTAATTTTACATTACGCATTAAACCAATTTTCAGTTGTGTGGCTAAAGTGTTCCGGGATTGCACTGGTTTTTTTAAACTTCGCTCTGTGATTGGTCTTAAAAACTCGCGCTCCTTTCTCGACCAATCAGATGCAAAACTAAAACCAATTACGACTTGGTCGCCCGCGTATTCTTATGCCTTGGCACTTTGGTTTTGTTATTTCCATTGGCTCTTAAAGATATTTTATATTTCCTGATTAGCCGTTGTATTCACCTAAATTTTCGTTTTACGACACTCAATGGAAAAGCGCTAAGGTGTTGTGTGAGTTAAACTGGCATTAAGAGATACCAGCACCAATGAATAAAGCGGCGTTTCTGAGCAAAATGATTTAAATAATACACTTCCCACACGAATATAAAACATGATCCTTTAATTAGAAACATTTCTGAGTAATGAATTTTTTTTTTATCACGAGTATGATTACAGATCAAATTGGACGACACGAAGTCTTATTATCAATTAATCATAAAAATTACAATTTACAGGGAAAAGATTAATAGCCAAGTTGTGAAAGAAACGGAAAATTTACATTAAAAGACTGACGATTGGTTGATTTAAACTACAACTTTGAATGTGATTGGATTATTGAACTGTCCGATAACAAACTGTGCGATGAGAACTTGACAAGTGAATTAGAGTTTTTTAAATCAATCACGATCGCGGAAATTTTAATTTTTATGAGTATTTTATTTATTTCCCACATTCAGTCTTATGACGAAATTCCCAATCTCTTAATCTTTGTTGCAAGACTAAACAAACTACCTGTCATTTCGTCTGTTTACTGTTAATTTCAATTTTGTGAAAGCCTGTTGCACAGCGATATACAAAACTGGAAAAGTGTGAACAGGAAGACACATAGCACAGAAGTACGCCTCATGGGGAATCTACGTGCAGGACTTCTCTCGCGTATCGATAAATAAGCAACACTATCGCCACAGGCTAACCTAGCTCCATATACAAGTACATCTGCTATATTTTGTTGTTAAGAAACGGTAGAAACGTTAGGATTTACATTGGTAACATGGTTGTATTAAGAAACCAAAATTTGAAAAAGGGGAAAAAAAATTTGGCTTTAGTCGTGTGTTTCTTTGTCTTTCTTGTTAAGGGAAGATTCATAGGTAGCTAACTTTGGTTTAAAACGAACTTAAACTGATATTAATTGCTATATATCTGTCTAAAATTCCCATCATATAGAAAGAAACGCGAGACTGAAGCAAGGAAAGCTACGTCTTTTCTAGAAATATCTCTGAAATTTTTTTTCGTCCTGGAATGCAACCGTTTCCCCGATAAAAAAAATCTTGATATTTCAACTGTTACGCAATAAAGATATAACGTTAAGATCATCGCAAATGAAGAAGATACACAAATATTCTGCCTCTTTGAAAACGTTTAGACGCCATTTCCAGCTGAGCCATAAGCTTTATGTAGGGAGGAAGGCAAGTTTTAGCGATTTCTGTATTCTTCGTATATCATTCAGGAATGTGTCGTGTTGGTAGGTTTGAAGATCTTACACCAAATGAAGCACTGTAATGATTGTTTGGGTTTTGCGTAGGCCCTTTCAGGGAGAGTTTCATTAGAGTTGTGTAAACAGTTCCTAAAAGTGGAAAATCTCCTGAGGGGCACAAAAAGATGACCTTTCAGGCCAATGAAATACATCTCATGCATGTTTTATGAAACCAGTTCGCTATCTTGCAAGGAATCCCAATTTAGCTTTTGAAACATCTTCTAGACTTGACATGCAAACTGCATGGGGCAACTAGCACTTAAATCATTCATGGTTTGCAGCGTGGCAGTTCAGTTGGTGTATTTAATAATCGTTAATTTCTTCCACCAAAAGAAATCGCTAGGACACCATTGCATCAACGTTTCACTTCTACGATACTGCGACTTTTAGCGTTTATCGGAAGAAGCAGTTGCGTCCTTAGAAGCTAATTCAACAGCCAAACTCCACTCAACATAGCGGCTTATTGCGAACAAGTTACGCTTGAAAGAGTCAATGGTGTTTTGAAAGGAAAGACATGGCAGTGGTCTTCATTATCTTCAAAATACTCTGTCTTCTCTCACAGGTATTTCTTCTAATTAATTTTTCCCTACGCTTCAAAGCTAAACATCGAAAAAAAAATTAAAACGCTTACTTGATGATTGTTTCAGATATTTGAAAGTTTCCAAGCGACAACTTCAAGTAAGTTTTCTCACGTACTTTAAGAATCCAGAAATAAATATTGTTCAAAGAACTTTTTCGACAGTTAGTCGTTGTAACTCTTCCAGCGTTAAAAATCGAAAGTCGTACAGTACAGGAGTAAAACTCGTCTCATGAATATGGATAGCTAATGAATATGGAAGGTCTGTAAAGTGTCTACCTATGTTAATCCTTTTTGTTTCTCTAAAGTTAGAATTCTCCATGATAAATTTTCTTTTCTATCTTTATAATTGTGACACCAAAGTTTTAATGAAACTCTACCAGATTATGTTCGTTTTGAAATACCTAGGGAGCTGTAAAGAATCATACGATAAGAAGCCTGGATTTAGGACAAATGCAAACAACTTTTTGTTAAATACTCAATATTCAACCAAATTTTAATTCTTCCTTTTCCGTTATTTTCGTGTAAGCGAGGATTTTCATTAAAAGGAAACCGGCTGCCATTGGAAGTGTGAACTGTGAATTCTTTTTAAATCTTTTTAAGTTTAAATCATGGGACCTACCTACTTTGTTAAGTCAGAGAGAGAGGGGTAATAATAAAAAGATTGGGGAAAAAATTGTACCTTGTTATTTAACAAGTTAACATCTGTCTTCACATAAATTTTTAATAACCACTTCAACAGTGGTAGCGATTCTTATTGACACTAACAAAAGGCTCCTTAAAACTTGCGAAATTAACGGTTCTCTCAGGTGTACTTTTCACATAATTAACTCTTTGTTTTTTAACGTTTTCATTAAAAAAACTTTTCTCCTAGTCTCTCGAACTTAGTAATTTATTCCGTCTATTATCTTCAGAGCTAATTTACAGAGTGAAAACACCCTTGTTAAATTTCGTTGCTAGGAGGCTTTGAATGACACTCAGACCATGTGATATAATTTATCGTTTATTAGGCAATTCTCGAGAACAAGATTGAAAATTAATTTAGCGTAGTGTGAACGAGGTGAAGTTTAGAACTACATGATTCGCAAGAAAGCCTCCCAACTTGGGTTGATTCAATGGTTGATTCAATGGTTGATTCAATGGTTGAATCAAAATGAAGAGCGAGTGTTTTTGCCATTTCTAAGCTTAACTGCAGACCAAATATAGCTGGCATTAAAAATACAAATTTAAGATATACAAACGGCGTTTCGCTTAAGTAGAACCAAGAAAATTGGGAAAGAATTTGTGTATAAAAATTGCCTGACGGAGCAAAAAATGCAAACGTATGAGAGCTCAAGATATATCACCCAAAATTGCAAATTAAAGTTTTCCGTTATTCTATCCTGAAACCTCGATGTTGCACAGAAATGTAAATAAAACTAAGCCGGAGAACGTCAGAGTGAGGCCACTGCATTATTTTTTTAGTGGACTGCTTTCCACGTTTTAAAAACTCTGACCATGCCGTATCGTTTTTCCCGTCGTTTTAAAGGCATAATATCAAGGCTTATGTTTAACATGGAGCACAAAGTGATTGTACACACATATATTGTAGTTTTTCAATTAATTTTAGTAGCAGCCAGTTGGTCAGTATTTCTTGTTTGTTTGTTTTTTTTTTTATTGACTTTTTCTCAGATATTTCAATTTTCAAGTGTGATTCTTCCACTTTCACCCTGCGTTACGCCGTTCAAACTCTGACCGAAAATCCATGCAGTGGATGCCGTATCAACGAAACCAAAGTTCCCATATGTCAGCGGCGCCTGTATGCTCCAATAGCTTCGTGTAAAGAGGAGTCAACCAGGATCTCCTTTAACTTAAAAGTATGGCCAACGGACGAGATTCCAGGTTGGTGAAAACTAAAACAATACCAATACGGTTGGTGAATGGCAATTCCGCATTCTTTCATTTGTCTTCATTTGAATAATAGAGAAAATTAACTACACGAAAGTCTAGTTCGCGTTCCTAATAACTTTACTTCTTAGCTCTACCTTTTTCTTTTCTTGCCAATGATGCGATGACCAAAGCTATTATGCGTTTAAAAGTGTCCATAACAGGTGTTTGTTTAAAAATAACGGTTGAATTTTTCAATTTAGCCTAAAACTTGCATGACAGTGCTAAAATTTTGAACTCTTTAAGACATCATGGAGTTGCTTTTAAGTTGCAGTTTCAACCTTGTTTCTTAGATAGCGAAGCAAGCAACCAGTCAGCGGCAAGCTTCGAAGATAGCCATGATTTCTTTACAATGCAACCCCAAGAAAGGGCTATCGTGTTGAAACTGAAAGAGGTGTCGCTTGTACAATATTCTGGCTTGGCTTTCAACTGGAGTTCTAACTCTTCGTCCTTAAATTTTACCATGGATTACAGCATAGACGGCTTTCACTGGGTCGACTACGTTGAGGACGAACGAGTAAAGGTAAAAATGAATAAAAAGTTTCTCATTGAATAAGCCGCAGAAAAAGGCGAGAAATCTTCCAGTGCTTCTCACTTTAACAAACAGCTCGGTTGTGTGGTGCACAATTTAAAATTGTGGGAAAACGTTATAAGTAAAGGCGGCGATCGTAGGAAATGATGCATCGTCGGTTGATCGCGAGCGTTTCGTTGACCAGTGTCAGGTGGTAAATGAATTTATTTTGCAGGCAAAGACGGCCTATTATTCGAGGATTATTGACGAAAACCAATATGATCCCAAACGCTTATTCTCTATTTTTGACAAGCTTCTTCATCGTAAAAGTGAACCTAAACTACCTGATTCTATGGATGATCAGTCCCTGGCAAATGCGTTTCGTGATTATTTTATTGAAAAGATCACCACAATACGCGAAGAGTTGCAGGAAAAAGAGGTACTACAAACCACGCCCAAGTTGAACTGCTGTACAGTGGCCCTGGGTTTAATCACTTCAAGTCAGTATCATGTGATGAACTGTCTGATCTGGTTCCTAGATCGACTTTGAAGTCCTGCATGCTAGATCCGATACCCGCGTCAGTCCTCAAAAACTGCTATGATCTGCTTCTTCCGTTTATTACGAAGGTTGTGAACTGTTCTTTGCAGAATTCCACGCTGACTTCAGACATGAAAGGAGCCATTGTCAGGCCCTCTCTCAAGAAACCATCACTTGACTATCAACTATATAAGAATCACAGACCGATTTCCAACCTGATGTTTCTCTCCAAGTGCTGCGAGAAGGTAGACGCGAGTCAATTCATTTCCCATCTGCGAGAAAATAAACTTGAAGAGATTTTCCAATCCGCTTATAAAGTGGGCCATAGCACTGAATCAGCACTGTTGCGAGTGCATAACGATGCGCTACGTGCACTGGATGATGGAAAGTGTGTGATGCTGGTACTGTTGGACCTGTAGGCAGCGTTCGACACAGTGGATCATGGCATCCTACTATCGCGTCTCTCCCAGTGCATTGGTGTTCAGGGCTCTGCCTACACTTGGTTTGAGTCTTACCTGTCCAGTTGTTCACAGTTCGTCCAAATCAGAGATACTAGTTCTTCTGATTGTCAACTGACCTGCGGTCTTCCCCAGGGGTCTGTGTTGGGCCCAATCCTATATTTGATCTATACCTCTCCTCTCGGAGCTATCCTGCGTCGCCATGGTGTCGGGTTTCATATGTACGCGGACGACACTCAACTGTACCTTAGTGTGAAGACCACTAAAATGGAGGATGTTGTGTCTGCGCGCACTAGGGTTGAAGTTTGTTTGCGTGAGCTGAACCAATGGGATGCTTTTAAATAATCTCCGGTTAAACAACGATAAGACTGAACTCCTGGTTCTGCATACTAAATATCGCCCTAAGCCACCATTAGATTCGATTACTGTGGGTGATGCTACAGTCGAGCCCACATCTAGCGCACGGAACATTGGTGCCATCTTCGACGATACCATGAGTTTCGAGGAACACGTCAATGATCTATGCAAGACTGCTTTTTACCACATCAGAAACATTAGTCGCATACGTCCATGCCTTAGTATTGACCCAACCAAAACACTAATGCATGTATTAGAAATGTCTCGCTTAGATCATTATAATTCGCTTCTTTATGGCCTACCTGATTATCTTATTCAGAGACTACAATATGTTATGAAAGCAGCGGCAAAAGTGATCACTTGCAAGCAAAAGCTCGATCATGTCACACCACTACTTATTGAGCTACACTGGCTCCCCGTCTGTTAGCGTATTATTTTTAAGATTTTACTGTACACCTTCAAGGCACTCCATGGTGCAGCTCCAGTGTACTTGACTGAGTTCATCAGTCCTTATGTTCCAAGGCGAGCTCTCAGGTCTGCTGACCAACTTCTACTGGAGCAACCAACACACAGTTCAAATTGACTGGCCTCAGGGCTTTCTCAGTGTGCGCGCCTTACCTCTGGAACTCGGTTCCATTTGAGATTAAAAGCAGCGCATCTGTCTCTATTTTTAAAGCTAAGCTTAAGACCTATCTTTTTCGACAAGCACATTTTCAGACTTTAAATTTTTATATAATTATAGATTATAATAATTTGACAATGTAAAGCGCATTTGGGCGTTAAGAAAATGCGCCATAGAAATAAATTATTATTATTATTATAATTATTATATTATTATCAAAGAAACCTGGGATATTTCTAAACGGGTTTAAGTTCCTTGAAGTTCAGTTTCAGCGTGCATGACACCGTGAGTTTCCCTTAAATTTAACCTGGGCTAAGTCGCCTTTGTGGTGTGCGGTCCGTGGTGAGGCAACTTGGATCAATGACCAGTCGCGGTATACGAAAGAAGCCTGCGCCTCCTTCTCCAAAGGACGACGGAGCGTGTGGAGTTTCCATTTTTGATATCTACCAATTAGAAAGTTGCATCTATCCATATCTGTGTCCATCAAAAGACCTAACGAACAAAAGGTCTATCGAAATCACGCACTTAAGGCAACTGGCGTAGGGAGAGCCATGGCTTGGTTGTCGTTGCAAACAAGGAATTTTTCTTCTTTTCTTAAGATCATCTTACGCTTCTTCAATTACTAACTTCCCCAATTTTTTCATGTGCCTGATTTAATTTGATTCGAAAATTATGAGCTTGATGTAATGAAAGTCGCATGCTTCTTACATGTGTTTATCAACACACCATGGGGTATGATTCTTTTCAGGTTTTCCAAGTCCACCGCTACCATCCAACAGCATGTTTGTGCCGTAAGGTGCTCGCCAGGTACATAAGGATAAAGATGACAGAAAAATCAGAGTTTGCACCTTGGCTGAGTGGGTATTTAGATGCCACATTTTGTTCAATTACGGCCGGAGGTTGGTTTTATTTAATTCATTGGCAGCATTTTCCCATTATCATACAAATTTGTGCGCTGTCTGTGTTACCAGCATCATATTTTGCTATAGAATATTTAGGATAGTACGTGCATCCTCATTGGTCGATTAGAGTGGGCCAATGAGAGTATGTAAAGCAATAGGGGACCATTTCGTATTCACATCTTATCACTGGAGGGCAGGGTTGGAGAATTCTCGGACGTTATGCAAACCCCGACTTGGGCTCAGGTTCGCACACCTGTCTCGAATTTCTTTGAACCCTCTCGTGCTGGTAAGATGAAGTCAAACGAATAAAGCCCTCTATAACTTAATATTTGAATTCCTTACAAGCAGATAAATATTTAGTATTTAATTGGTCTTGAAACAAGCTTAGAGCTAATTCTACGCATTCTTTTCCCTCCTCTACGCTGTTTAACAAATAGAGAAGCCTTGATTGTGCTCTGTTCTGTTGTGGAGCACGCAGGAAGCGGTTAGAGCACGAAAGAAGTGTAGGGGGAAACATGAGACGTAGTCGAGTGTTTCTCCCCACTTCTTGAGTGCTCTAGCCGCTTCCTAAGTGCTTTACAACAGAACAGAGCATAGTCAAGGCTTCTCTATTTGTTTTATAATAAAGAATCCATTAAATTCCCCAAGAATTACTTTCAGTTTTCAAATCAAACTTTATTTCCAAAGCGAACAACAGTGTCGTCAGCATGCTGTATACTCTCATAAAGCACGCTACAATAAGTCAATCAGAATTCCTGTTAGAATGGTTCAAATGATCTGATTGGCTGTACAAGACTAAAGCTGTCAAAAATGTCAAACCATCAAAGTTCATATTCTGCAATATTTTACAAACTAAAATAATTCGGCATGTCGAATTTAACAATTTTGTCTGAAGTTTTTTAGTTTCTAATACAGAATCTGAAAGTGAAATGTTCAGTGAAATTTTCCCAATCGTGGCTCACAAAAATACGCAAGTTATTTACATGAAAAGAAGAAAATAAACTGTTAAAGGCGAGTGTTTTATGAATGAACGACAACCGAATTCACCAGGACATGAAGATCGCTCGAAATGACAGCGCCGTAAAACTCGGTTGCAGTGACTGATGTGGCCTTCCACTCAAGGCATCGGAAAGGTTATCAGAGCAAGCTCTTATTTTTCCACTCGAAAGGTAGTCGATTTAGTTCCTGAGGCCTGCTCCATTGCGGTGACCGAAGATCGCCATGATGAGCTAGCCGCGATAGGCCTCAGCATGATCGCAGTCGCTCTAACAGCGTCATGATTAATATGAATTTTAACAGTTATGCCAGGTTATATTTTTCATCATTCCTGTTTCGTTTTTAAACACGAAACTTTATATACTATACAAGTGTTAGCTGTGTTTGATTTTTCTTACCGTACGTACACTTGCAAGCTAACTGAGCGTGAAAACCTTTAAAACTCGAACTGTCCATTTTGTTTTATCTTTGAGGATTTTTGTCTCTGCTCACGTTACAGTAACGTAAATTACTGCGCCTGGCATTTTTCCCAAACCTTTGCTCGCTTGTTCCGAAATTTCACTTTCAATTAACGAGAGAAAAGCTAGAAAGAAGTCCCGGAAAACGTCAGACAAAGTACAATAATTTGGCAGATGGCGCGACAGCTTTAGCTCAGTTCTATGCTCTATACTCTCTTTTAACCAATGACAGCACGCGTTATATCCGAACTTAATTATAAACCGGAGTAGGACATACCCGTAATTTCAGTTCGAATGGATCAAATATGGGTCACACACCTGTGAAGTAAAGCATTTTTTCTGTGTTTTAGAAGGTTCCACTCCTGTTAGAAGCTGTTCGAATTTTTCTTTTCATGAGTGCATCTCAGTTGCAGCCAAAATGTGGCTAGTGAATATTTTCGATTCGTAATACGTAAGTCACACTCTCAACTTCCAAGTCCTCAGTCAAACAGTGGACTTTTTTGTGAAGGGCTAACTAAGTTATTGAAGTATTAATTACTTCCGTATATACCATCATATATAGTTCATGAAAACCCTAATTTAATTATAATCTTTTAGGAGAGACAACAGAACATCGAACACAAACACGGAAAAGGTATTCGACTGGCCTTTATGAAATGCGCAAGAAATACAACCTAAATATGAATGCGTCAGCTGTTGGTAAGACTGTAAAAAATGACTAGTTTACTCTCTGTATCGAAGACGATTTCATTGTAATTATTTAACAAGCTGAGAACCCCCCTCCTCTAAGTAATCTTCTAATAAAGGTAGCGCCTATTTCTTTAAAATTTTGCGAAAGGCGGAATTTGAACATATTTTCCGAATAAACTCCCACATGAGAAGAAAGCTCTCCTCGAAAATTTTGTGACCTCTTTGTTTGATGTATCATGAAAACGCCGTATATTCAGCTTTTTGTAAATGGATTTTAATCCAGTTGTCATTGGTTCACACCTGCCACTCTTAAGGATCTTTTTTCGGTTACCCCAAGTTCTACTCTTTGACTACAATCTATGAAAAACCAACTGTTCCACCCGGCTACAGTTTAATGATCTATTTCATAATCTGTTCATTTACAGATTTAAAGAACTACACGAGGTTATACCTAGGTTGCCATTGGGTAAACGTGAGCGCAGGAGAGCTCTTCCCCTCTGGACTCCCAATTTACACTGAAACCGACGAAAGAATCTGTATTAAAACATGCTCCATGTTGAATTACGACTACTCAGCGATTCAGTCAGGACTCATGTGTTTCTGCTCAAATAAGTTAACCTCAAATCTCACCGACAACCAAACGGATTGCCTAGTACCATTCTTCTCGGATAAGTGGTATTTAAGTGAAGTTGCTATGCGCTTTTATCGAGTTCCAACAGAGAATGTCAAAGTGGAGAAATTTAGTCTTTCCCATCATAAAAGAAGGATTGGCGAAGGTTTGAACATCACCGCCTCAGTGAACAGTGACAACATGGGATTGGTTAGGTTCACGGTCCAATCCGGCGACGGAAATGAATACGTTTTCTGCGATCCAAAAATGAGACACTTCTATACAAATCCTGGCAATTACAGTGTTTCTTTGATCGTCAAAGACATCAAAGGCAATACCTTAACGTTCACAGACTCGATCGAAGTCGCTGATAATCTTACAAAACCAGAGTTGGAGTGTCCAAGAGCAGTACCACAAGGAGAGGCGGTAGAATGCAAAATAAAACTTGCTCGAGCCCTCAACGTCACAGGGAAGGTCACTGTGGAAAACAGAGAGATCACGCTACATCAATATTCAGGTTAGGTTTAAGCTAGGGAGCGCCTCTCCCTGAGACCCCCGACAACCACCTACTGGGAAAAACAGGAAAAATCGCTTGGAGACAATGAGAACTCAAAGTAAAAACGACCCAATAGCGAAAATTATGTGCTAAGATGACTTTATCTTGATCAAATGTTTTGTCTCTTCCTAAGAAACGATTGTCAATGCGGTTCCCTTTTTATCTTTAACCAGATACCCGGATGAGCAGTTTCGGTGCAGACGTAGCCCGATATTTTCCAGAACCCAACACCATGCTAAAAAAATTACTAAACAAGCCGAAACGGATCTACATCCTCACAAAGCACAGTGTGCAGGGAGAAGGTTATGTGGCTGGGCTTGAGTTTAATGTTATCCAACCGGGTCCGATTCGAGTCCTCGTAAGTCCCGTTGAAAATAAATTAGTTTGATACATGAGATAATTTTGCCCCAATGCACTCAAGGGGAATTAAAAGACGTATGTCATTGGTACCTTCTCTGAAATAACAAACACGTTCCTCGATAACCAGTTTCTTGGCTCATTAATGTTTTAAAATACTTTTCATGGAATCAATTTTCAAAACAGTTTCCCAAGAGAGAGTTATTCCCATTGTGTTCCAGATGTTTGAGTGAAATAATGAGCTTTCTCAAGACTACCAAGAAATAAGCGATAACAAAATTGAATAGAATTATCCTTTTCATTAAGAAAGAGCTAAAGAGGAATCACGGAGAAAGCTTCGACAGAATATCGACGAGAAACTTGGTATCTTAGTTAAGAATAATCATGAAGAACTACCGATGAACTATCGCTAAGCTAGTACTGTCACTTTTAATATTAGATTCTGAGGCGTGTGGATGAAGTACAAACTTTAGCATACTCTTGGAAAAGTGGAATCATATGCTCAAATTCAGAAAAGCTATTCATGGACTATGGCTCTTGTTGCTCTACTTCATGTAGTTCGATGAGAAACAATCTGGGATCAGTAGCAAATCTGCAGTTTGTCATCGTCAATGAAGTCATCGTGGCCCAGAATATGAGTGCAGGATATCACTTTGTGGACTTTACCAACATCACTAAGTTAAAAGTGCTTCCTGGGGACATGATTGGCTGGTACAGCAGCGACTTGTTTGGTAAAATTGGATTTGTTGAGGAAACTACGGAAGAGCAATGTCTTGTATACGAGGGAATTGAGGATGGTGTTATGATAGGGCAAAAGCTGACCAATCGCGTCCAAGACTTCAATTCCAACCTTAGTTTTGCACTAAGAGCAAATTTTGTTCCAAAAGCGCTCTCAGAAGTGTCATTCAAACTTGAAGAAATAGGCCCACACAAACTTGTTGTTGAAGTAACAGACAAGTTTGGCAATATGGCAAAAATGACAAGTGGAAACATATTGTGTCAGCGTGCAGTGCAAGGACTCTCAATAGACGTACCTGAGGTTGCCTTGGTCGGTCAAGTTGTGTTCGGAGTAAATGTCACCAACGGAACAAATGTGAGATATACTATAAACTCCGGGGATGGCCGAGTGATTAATCAGTCCGAGAATATTGTGAAACTCAATTGCACCACACCAGGGGTCCGTGACATCTCTGTTATAGCCTTCAATGACGTTAGTGTGGCTATTGGTGAGTGCAAAGGGCTGGTTATATTAAGTGAAGTAGAAAATATCACCATTCAAGCAGAAGAAGTTGTCGCCACTAATGATACTTTCACGATCAAAGTCACTATTCGCCGGGGTACTGCTGTCTATTTGAATGTTTCCTTTGGAGATGATTCTCCAGGTTTTAATATAAGCAACTTTGACGTGAATAACACTTTTACAGTCGCTAAAAACCACTCATACGGAAGGAACGGAGTTTACCGCATCAATGCAACAGTTAGGAACTCTCTTTCCTCCGCGTCGGCAGTACAAAGCATCACCGTCCAAACTCGAATTGCAGATTTGCAGATCTTCGCACCAAGGGTAACCCATTCAACTGACAATGAATTGGTTATAAACATTTCAGTGGCTCAAGGGACTGATGTCAAATATGAAGTTTGGCTTGAAAATGAGAGAAAAAAGACAGCGAACGGACTCAGTGTAACTGTGGTGTTCCCCATAGGAGATTTAAGGCCTGGTGTCTCTTTACTCAACGTTAGTGCGTACAATCTGTTACAAAGCCTCAACGATTCAATACAAATTCATTTAGAGACTCCCATTTCAGGAGTATTGTTTAAGTTGAAATCTGAAACTGAAGCAGTCCAAGTGGCAAAAAATTACACTTTCGTCTTACGTTATGACAAAGGATCAAGTGTCGATATAACTTTGTGGAAGAATATCAACGAAGGAAGTGTATCTCTAGCACTCCAAAACGAAAAAGAGGATTTGTTTCACGCGGTCATATATCAGACACCTGGAGTCTTCATAGCACGTTTAAACTGTAGCAACGTACTTGGGGGGGTCGTCAAAGAGAGAACCGTGATAGCTCAACATCCTGTCAAAAACATTTCCATTAACACCAACAGTCCAGTACCTCATCTACCTGGCATTATTAACATTACGGTGAAGCAGGACCGAATTGTAGCGACTAATGCAACTCTGATATGTTCGTTTGGCGATGGAGAGACTAGTGAGAGACTGGAATTTTCTGGAGAACTCGAAATTTCTCACAGGTGACAATGTTAAAAACGATAGAGTTCTTTAGATCTCTGACGAATACAACAACTAGTCATAGATCGAGATATTGGGGTGAATTTTCTCAGTCTAATTAGGAATGCATTAGTATAAATGACAAAGCAATTATAGCTTAAGAATTTACGAGAAAGGATAATGTTCTAATGCATTCTTTTTATTTATATTGGGCTTATAATCAATCTGACACAACCGTCCCCTTAAATTCTTTTATGCACATACATTCTTATGGTTTGTTTTACCTTTTTCCCCCCAGATATGTTATGGCAGGCGTCTACAAAATAGTGGTGAACATATCCAATTTAGCTTCTTTTGTGTCAAAGGAGGTCATCGTTGACGTGGTGAAAGTCATTACCATCATGAAAGTCAATGCAAAATCGTCCGCTGCTAACTCCGTATCAAGGTCGCCTTTACCTCACAATATCTTTCCTACTAAAAGTCGAGTCCTCTTCGAAGCTGAACATGATGGAAATATGAGTGTAACACTCTTTATTTTTAACTTTGGGGATGGATTTGAAAGGAATGGTACATCACACCGCATTGCGGAAGAACACACCTATGTGTCGAAAGGAGAATTTAATGTCACACTTAAAATAATACATCAATTTGGAGAAAGTTGGAATTTCACAGTGGTTACGATAAAGGAAAGCATTGCTGGCTTAGCGATATCAGACAACGCGCCAACAGTTTTAGGAGAGCCCACCACATTCTTCATGAACTGGACTCAACTAGGAACGGGTACTCTGATTCAGGTTGATTTCGGCGACGGACAAAAGATCCTCCTAGGAAATAAAAGCAACAACACTGTCGCATCACCTGCAGGCGTTGATAAACCGATTGATGCTTCTATGCAGAATATCACATTTGAGCATACTTATAATCAAACACGTCTTTATGTTGTTCTAGTACATGGATGGAACGATGTTTCTTCCATGATAATCTCCCATCGCTCTGTGACTGTGGAGAAAGAATGCAGTTATCCCAGTCCTCAAATATTAAGTGTCGGCACAAACATTAGCAGCGCTACAAATACCAAGAAAGATAGGGAGCTAATTATCTACACGAGAACGAAGGTAAGCTGCCAAGCGACGTACAAGACTATCTTTATGTGGAGGTTGGAGCGTAATGACTTCCAAGACAACCTTTCTATCATAGATGTCGAAACGGATTTAAACAAGCCAAGCTTAACCATTCCTTTTGGTTCACTTCCATATGGAATTATCACCTTACGATTTACAGCCAAAATGAAATATTTCATCGATGGAATTGATACCATTGCGACCGGGTATATCAATGTTGTACCAGCGGCTCTCAAGGCCATACTTTACGGTGGAGGGTTCCGCAAAGTCAGCTCTAAAAGATGGTTTAGCGTTGATGCCTTCATGTCTGAAGACCCAGATATAGGGCGTGGAGACTTTACTGGAATTAGCTTTCATTGGTATTGTAGACGATTTTCCGAGCATTTTCCCTCGAATGTGGAGACACTTCCTGCCGTTACATTTAAAAAAATCTCCTTGCATTTGGGAAACGAAGGATGTGAAGGAAGTGGACCTGCAAGGCTTAACTACTCGACATCCGTTTTGAAGATTGCGCCTGGGATGCTTCGGGAGGACACAATGTACGTTGTCAAACTGGTGATCAAAAAAGATGCGCGAGAAGCTTCGTTTGAACAAACTCTTTCAGTTCTTGCGCAAGTCTTACCGGACATTGCAATAACGTAAGTACCCGCAAGTGGTTATCATGATTATTGTACCATTGGCTGATGAAACTTAACTTGGATTAGCTTAACTTTTTAGAGTAATGTTCTAGAATACTCAAAAAATAATCCTTCGTGTTTCATGATATTTGGCCAATAAAGCTGTTTGTATGTTAACCCTTCCTACGGTTTGTGACGTGGGCTTTTTGAATCGGAAAAGATCTTGATATTTGGATAGCATTTCTTTCGCAGAAATGAGATTGGGGCCTCTGTTTTCCAAGAATTCCCGCCGTGGCAGTCCATTGTTACAGCATGCTGTTTTTGTTGAGAAAATCGTGTCAGAGTGAAATTAAAAGTGTTAATATTTCTCGATCACAGCCACAGTTAATCTTTTTATCTCATCTGTTTTGAAAATTTTCGATGACATATTTATCAGAACCTTCAAGTATGAAACGTTACGAGATTTAACGATCCCTTTTGTTATAGATGCGAAGTAAACTGCGATTACAAGGTTAACACCAACAATCGGCTGTCTTTGAGGAGCAATTGTGCCAACTGCCGCCAAGAAAATTTCACCTCAGTGTCTTATAGGTGGGAACTATACATAAGAGATCAAGTCACAGGCAACTGGACACTTGATCCCGAACTTGATTCCAAAACACTGACAAACAGTTCTAAACAAAATTTAGTTCTGAAGGAAAACAGTCTGGATGTTGGTAGGAGATATAGGCTCGTATGTTTAGCAGGCAGTGAAGGTGAGTGAGCAGAAATCGCATATAGAATTCATTGATAACTGATAGCTTTTTTCACACACGGGTAAAAGTTATTTCAGCATTTTTGCAAATAAAATGTCTAATTGTTGCTTGCTGATCTAGCTAACGAAATAACGATGAAGTGATAAAGATGAGGTGTCTCATTCAAAGCTGTGATGACGTTTCACTTTATGTGCGAAAAACCACGATATATTTAACTTTTTTAGTTTAACTGCACTGTTTGTTTGATTTACAGAACGCAATGTGAATGCACTTGTTTTCTCAAGCATGAAAATGCGGAAAAAAAATTCTTTTTTAATGAGACTATCCAGCCAACAAATTGTTCCAATTCTAAATCTGCCTTGGAAAATCGTCAACGATCTTTGGATGACACATAAATAATTCAATTCTGTGCAAAATTTGAATGTACTGATGTGTTGTATGGTTCTTTTGTAGAAGGCCAACAAGGTCAAAGTGAACACCATTTTATAACAAATGTCCCCCCTCGAAACGGAAGTTGTACAATCTCTCCCATAGAGGGAAGGGTGCTGACGACCTATTTCCATATCAAGTGTGAAGGGTGGAAAGACATGGATGGGCCGATCGTTTATAAAGTCTTTCGTGGCAGAACGCTCCTACATCATGGAAAAGAGGCATCTTTGCCTCCTATGCTTTTGACAACAGGTCCACCTCAAAACAATTACACATACTACTTGACAGTGAATATTTTTGACAAATTTCACAGTCACAGCGCAACAGTGTTATCAGTGACGGTACGTGAACAGCTAGTCATTAAAAAGTATTGTGTGATTTCTTAATTGTTGTTTGGCACTTGTCGCTGTGGGAAGATTGTTCCTCTTACTGCAGCAGACTCGATGAAATAATACTTTTTATGATGTCATAATAGTTTCCAACTGAATTTTTAAGTCTGTCTTGTCTTTTAAGAAAAGATTTAACCCTTGATGTAAGAAAATATTGGACTAACCACAAAAATATTGGGCCAATTTTCGTCGGAGCTTTGTTTCCTCCGCGAATGTGATCGACCCTCACCAAAGAGAAAACATATGGAAAACCAGAAAGTTCTTACATTTTAGCAGTATGAACAAACAAACTAATAAAAGGCCACAAATTTACATCAATGAGAGCTCAATTTCAGTTTGCAACCAACAATTTCAGGTGAGAGAGGCAACGATGTCCGCTCAAGATCTTAAGTCCATGATGGCTGAAGACGGTCTGGTGACAAACATGCGCATCTCAGGGGACCTACAAGGTGTTTCCCAGTTCATAATGTCGGCTGCCTCAGTACTTGCAAGCCAATCTGCTAAGGAGAAGAACAACAATGTTACTGGAGGAGATGGAAAACTTAGCCAGCTGCAGGCAAAGAAGGAGCGTAAGGAGGTACGCTTATTCTGTTTGAATATAATTACCAGGATGATCAAAACCTAGCTGAATTTTCCAAAATGAAAAGGGGCTGATGTTTTCCTCATGTGTAACTTTTAAACAAGGAGAATTATCAAGGATAAATTGTACCAGTGTAGACGTCAGAATTCTTACCCCAGCGGCATGGGGCATGCTTTCTTTCCCGGAGTAAAATGCAAAACATTATATCAAGCCAAGTGATATTGCCAAGGAGATGTACCACGTCTTTGTACAACATTTTTGAAGCATCTCAAATATCTTTTACATTTAATCTGTGTTCTTCTTGCAAATCTCATTAAGAATTAGAAAAACGCGATTTGTATCTAGATGTTTGAACCGATAAAGTGAAAAGCTAAGAATTTCTCATGACAATTAAAGCTTGAATTGTTTTTAATCTATTCTAGATAAAGGAGGAATTGCTCGGAGCTCTTGATCAACTTGAACCTGAGTCACTGGACTCGTTAGGAATGGTGCTGGAGGCAATGTCATCCGTCACCAGTGATGTCACAGAGTTATCAAGTGCAGCGCAGGTAAATGGCAGACTTACTGAAGTCACTTGATCGGAAGTGCTTACATCATATCAAGTTGCTTCTAACGTTCTTGTTTTGGAGTTTTGAATTTGCTGATGTTAAGAAATATTGCATGAAAACCGAATGAATTCGTAAGTACTTCCACGTCGTCGATCTGCTGGTCGTTTAGGAAACTGGTTGATCATTCGGTAGTCAGGCCAGTGTGTTCGTCGATGACTATATATGGGAGAGCCTTCCAAAAAGGGGTTACCTTACTACGGGTTGAAGTTTATAGGATTGTGTGGGTTCCCTTGCGGTAAAAATTGTTGTATAAATGATGTGGAGTATCCCTCTTTAAACAACCCCTTTACCAAGTTTTTAAATTACTGGTTGAAACGTATAGCCAAGTCAGTAAGTCTGTGAATTCTGGTTCAAACATACCTTTCGTCATGTTGCTGTCTTAATTTTTGCCTTTTTTTTCTTGTATTCAATAACGTAATTTGTAAGCGTTTGATTACCAACCGACGTCTTAGTGAATATATATCCACATCTTTTCTTATTAACTAATTTTTCTACATCCTTTGTAGTCGAGTGCCTTGAGTATCCTCTCAAAAACTGTAGCTACTCTCTCAACGAAGAAAAACGCTGATTCGCTAGAGACAATAAAATCAATCAGCGCTGGAGTAATGGAAAACTTAGGTGCGTACAAGCCATTCCTTCTTCCCTTAGTTGAATATTTACTATTCCTATAGGTTAGAAAAATGAAAAAGACCATTATCATTGCACCTTTAAGAACTGGTTTTCCAAAATTTAAACAAATCGTTTATATTTCATGAACAGGAAACTTGTTTGGATCCTCGAAATATGAGCAAGACAGGAATACCCTGCAGATGACGCAGTTAAAGGACAAGGAGCAATCAAAGACAACTGAAGAAGAGGTAATTATCAAATTTTAATCACAAAGATCACGATGGCAGAAATAATACTGATGATAATTGCATTCTTTTTATTACTACTATTTTCGTTAATAACAATAACGATAACGGTAGTAATAACAGTGATTACAATGATGATAACTCAACATCACAAATCGTAAAAACGTCTCGGAAAGATTTGTTACGCTGGGCGTGATTAAACACACCAGTCTCTTTTACCGAGACTGTGAACTCATCAGCATAACGATACTATCTTTGAAACCCTTCTTTTCTTTCAAGATGGATAATCTGCATCAAGACAGCAAGGAAATTAAGAAAAATGTGAGTAACATATTTTTCAGATCGACATAAAAATCATCACTTATTTTAATTTGCGCCACATGTTGGACAGCATCATTAATAATAGGGAGTTAAAGAAAACCAAGACGGTGACGGCAAAGGGAACGTCACTAGACAAAAGCTTTACTGAGCTGTGCACGTGCGTTATAAATTTCATGGCATCCTCTGCTAAGCAACGACGTAAAATGATCAAACTTGGCGCTGTCTGAAGAACGTGAAGGACGACGGCTAGTTTTCTAAATTTCTGTTTCTTATTTAACGCTGTATTCCATGTTTAGTTTCAAGATGGTTTGGCAGCGAGAAACAAACTATATGACTTTACAGTATCGCGAGATTCGCAGGTAAAATATGAGTTCATTTTTTAACCGACGTTGTCCACGGAGTCGCTATCGTCGTTTCTTAAACTCCCTTATATCTCTCATCAATATCAACAAGTACGGGCCTGAAGGAGGAATTCTAGCCCGATGATCTCAGCCCTTTTCTCCCACCGATGTGGTCTGGGTCAAATTTCAAAAAATTTCGCCAGAGTAAGTCGAGTTTTGGAATTTTCTTCTGGTTCCTCGATGTGCAATTGCTTAAAAAACCTCAATTCCAAATTATATCCGGAAACTGCGGAAGGACTTCTCTGTTGACAGAACAAGTGCTTCAACCAAATTATATCTAATCGTTGCCTTCTTTACAAATCTTGCCCCGCTTATTCAATGTTTATCCATTTATAAGTTTGTTTAATTGTTTGAGCCTACAAATTGATCTGTTTTCAGGATGTAGCCGGCATTATGAGCTACGGTTTTTCCCATACCGAGCTAAGTACGGACAGTCTCTTGTTAAAAATATCATTTTCTCATGGTTTTTTAGGCGCGTGCCGTGACTACGTCTGCGATGAAAATCCTGGACGACATCTTAGACATGATCGTTGAATTTGAAATGCCCGATCAAGAACCTCAACTGCTAGAAAGCGAGCGCATGACTGCGCTAGTTTCGAAAGTTAGCACCGAAAGGCTCGCGGGCTCAAGCTTTTCAATCGGTGAAGGATCCTTTGTTTTGCCCTTTTCTAAAGACATTGTTGACATCTTGCGGGATAAAGACTGCTACGTCGTAGCGAAGGTACAGAGATAGTTATAATGAAAAAAATTATGTTACCTTGGTTTTCTTAAACTTTCATAGTCCCCTTTGAGGTAACATCTACATGTGTAAATGTTTGGTAACCATTCTCCACTTCAGCCCATTTCTATTAGAGTTTCATTCTCTTCAAAACTTATAACAATAATAAACAATGTGATAGTGCGCAACTCGTACAAAAACAGGCGTTGCATCTCTCTACTGTATTCGCGAACTTTATGCCAAAGGGGGTTTGTGTACGATGTATAGTCTGCTTCACTCGTTGCCAAAAACGTAGCTTCGTGACTGTCCTGTGTTTAGTGATAGCGCTGTCGAAGCATGAATTTTGTTTTTGTTTCAGGCTTCTTCTACCGAAATTAATTTGTCTATAGTCTACCTGTTTGGAGAAATTAATCATCAACCAGTCCTGGGTCAAATATCCCATCTACCATGTTATAATCTGACCTAAAATGCCTTTGCAGCCAGCATTTTGCATCCTGACTCAGTGGAAAGTAACGCAAAAACTGCTTTCTAAAAATTACGAGTTCAAGCCAAGTCGATCAAAGCCTGAGTTTCATCACCTGAACTTTGCTTAACAGCCTGTGAGGATCCTTTCGTGTCACTAATGTTGTTTATCATATTCACATCCGTAGCACTGCGATTGAAAGAAAGATTTTGCAAATCGAAGGAACGATTTTCTAATAGTGATTATATCTTTTAAGGGTCTTAACGCTAAAGATAACCCTTTCATCTGGGATAACTCATCATCTGGCGTAAAGAGCAACTGCCTTGGACTCAAGTTTGAGGACTGCCATGGGACGCCAATCAACGTGACTCGTCTGCAGGATCCAATCGCTATCACGATACCACGTGATGGTGCCGGCGATTCACCCGAACCAGGGAATTTCACCATAGAAGAGAACACGATGAAAACACATAAATTGAACATTGACGATCCCACTTATGCAATGAACGCTGTGATACAGCCCAGTGCTGTTAACTGTCTCCACGATTTCGGGATCTTCCTTCGTAAAAATAAGAAGCCGACAACAGACACGTTTGATTTCAATTGGACCATGAGTGTGCCTCCCAAAGAGGCCGAGAGGAGAGACAGTTTTTCATTTTCTGTTTCAAATTATCAATTGAAAAAATCGGCCTCTGACACTGGGGAATATTATCTGGGCCTTTATGCGACTCTCCATGAAGAATCCAAGAAGGACGAGAAATGTCGGACAGAACTGAACTACACTTTGTTCACCTTTGTCTCATCATGCAACTTTTGGGACGAGAAAGAAGAACTGTGGAAAGCATCCGGCTGTGAAGTAAGTTAGCAATCATTGATGCGATGGCTCCTTATTCTCAAATATAAACTTAACAAAAATTACCCAAACACTTCTTCGTCGTCTCAGCAACAATGGATCATTAATTTTGATTTTCATAAATACAACACATACACTTAAAACAGGTTTTTTGTCTCCTTTTGTTGAACCAATGTTGCCCCCTTTTCCCTCAGCCATTTTTCTCAGTAACCGTTATACCATTTTTCCTATTCTTCCCGTATTATAATTTTTTTTTTCTCGACTTCAAGAAATTTAAAAGTTTTTACTTAATTTTTTAACAATTATCTCTTGTATTAGGTTGGACCAAAAACCACCTACTCCTCTACAGAGTGCCTCTGTACTCACTTGACAAATTTTGGCGGAGGCTTCTTGGTGGCTCCAAATCCTATAGACTTTGACTCGGCTTTGAAGGGTTTTACCGATATTGCATCAAATCCCACAGTCTTTGCCACAGTTATCACTATATTTGGCTTGTATTTTATTGGAGCGATCTGGGCAAGATGGAAAGACAAGAAAGACTTACAAAAGGTATTGCCTGCAGAAATGAAGTTTTCGGGAACATATCTGAAAATGTATTGCTTTCTATTGATTGAAATCCATTGGTGACGTTTTAATAAACTTTGTAGTCATTATTCTCAAGCTTGACTTGCACTTGGACAAAGACTTTCCCTCATTATGATCATTTTCTTATATATAAAAAGGGGGTCTCACCTTAAAACTAGCACCACTTTCTTTGAACGAAGCAATTTCTGCGTTAGTATTCCCTGAGTTAGTACGATTAAATACATTTACCCTTTCACTTCTTTTCCATTGACTCCATTGAAAACTGCTCGTTTGTTTCCTTAGGTTGGAGTCACTCCCCTATTGTCCAATGATCCTAGAGATACGTATGGCTATGAGATCACTCTACAGACTGGTTTTCAACAAAAGTCGAGAACAACTGCAGACGTGTTCATCCAGCTGTTTGGCACTCTGGGAGACAGCGAGCCCAGGATGTTGAAGGATCCGAAGCGTCCGAAATTCGGGCGAGGGGAAATCGATCAGTTTCTGTTAACTGTTCCTCAGTCCCTTGGCACTATCAAAGAAATACACATTTGGCATAACAATGCTGGAAGGTCGCCTGCCTGGTATTTATTTCGCGTGCTTATCAGGGACTTACAGACCGACTCAAAGTGGTGGTTTATTTGTGATCGATGGCTTGCTGTCGAGGAAGGCGATGGTGCAGTCGATCGAAAGCTTAACTTGGCAACCAAACAGGAACTGACCAGATTTAACATCTTATTTGTGAATGCTACCAGAAAAAATCTCCTAGACGGACATCTTTGGTTATCAGTGTTTACACGCCCACCAAAGAGCACTTTCACTCGAGTGCAGCGATTGTCTTGTTGCCTCTCATTACTGTTAAGCACAATGTTGGCAAACTTGATGTTCTACCAAGTCGGTGCGGATGACGACTCAGCCGCAAGTCAATCGATATATATTGGACCATTTATTTTTAGCGTGAGACAGGTAATGATTGGCGTGCAAAGCAGTTTTGTGGTGTTGCCAGTGAACTTGATCATTGTGACGATATTTCGTAAGCTTAAACCAAAGGAGGAAAACTCAAAGTCAAAAAAGTATGAAGAGGTTGTAGAAGAAGTGAGCTCTTCAAGCCCAACAATGGGTTACCAAGACTTTCCTGTAAAAGCAGCTTCAACGTCTGAAAGCCGTGCAAGAGACGTGATTAGCAGTAACTTACAAATGGCAGAGATTACTTGCCCTGAGGAGAGTGACAATCCCAAGAAGAAGGACCTGAATTGGAAGACATTATTGAAAATTTTCAGTAGGGATGATGACGATGATAACACGAAAAAAGCGAAGAAGAAGTTCTTGTTTCCACATTGGTGCATTTACATTAATTATCTGTTAGTGGCCCTTTCTTCGCTAACGTGCGGGTTCTTCTGTATGCTGTACGGCTTCCAGTTTGGGAAGGAAAAATCAGACAAGTGGCTCACATCAATGTTAGTTTCATTCTTTCAGTCCATCATCGTTATACAACCGTTCAAAGTGCTTCTTTTGGCAGCGTTCTTTGCGTTGATTATAAAGGATCCCAATAAAGAGGAGGAACAGGAACAAGAAAATGTACTGGATCCTGTATTGAACACTGACGAAGAGTTTATCGAGGGTGACGCAGAGAAGGAACCACGTAAGATCGGTCTACAAAGCAAACCGCCGGACGCAAAGAAGTTGGAAGCTGCAAGAAAGCTAAGATTAAAACAATGTGAAATGAAAGCAATCATTAACGAGATCGTCACACATATTTTGGTGGTCTGCGTTGTGCTGGTCGTTGCTTATGGCAACCACGATAACAGATCATTTGCAATGACTGAAGAAGTAAAAAACGTCTTGGGTACCAGTGATTCAAATATCGTATCATTTAACGGGGTGAGGAATTTACTGTTATTATTACAACTTATTGCTATAAAGTGTACTCGAGTGACCGTATCAGTATGATTCACGAAAATCATCCTCGTTTTCTTTCAAGATATATCGTTCGACTTGACAAAAAACAGGCTAGGAAACGGTTTACTTACTAATTAAGTGAGTGAGATGAACCTTTCTCAGTGTTTTAACATTCATTGTAAGTTTACCTCAGCAGAAACCAAATGAGAGATAGACATAGATAGAGAGAGATGGTTAGCTACTAATTCGTTAGTTTTAACCTTCCTAAATTTACCCATATACTGAAGTCTTAAATCCAGCCAAGCTGATATAACTTATCAACGACGCTTGTCGTTGACGTAAAATACAGGAATTCTTTTATGGAACAAGCAGTTCCATGATGTAAGGTTAGATGAATATATGCCCAATTGCGAGGCTTCAAATTCCTAGTTAAAATTATGTTGTTCCTCTGGGCCTAGGATATAATTCTGGCAACCATTTGGCAGTATGATGAAATAGAAGATTTAACTACTTTCATTCGTTTATTTTCCAGTTGACGAGGCAAGAAGCTTTTTGGCACTGGGTGGAAAACCTAACTGACAGTCTTTTTCCCTCGAGTTCATCAGTCGACTACCCTTATATGGGCATAATAAAGAGCGGAGAAGTTTCGAACGTGCTGGGGCTTGGTCGCGTTCGACAACTAAGGATTAAAAAGGGTAAAGATTTCTCTTTGTTTTTTTTTATATCATTTCTAAACTGAAGAGGCGATTTAAAAAAGGCAATAAACATAAAAATTGAATATGATATGTTAACTGTAACTGAAACTTCAACTAAAAAGCCTCGTCCCTAGTTTTTTGCAAAGGTCATATCATCATAAATGACTGTAAACCATTCTTATACTCTAAGATGAGGTGTTGATTCAGGGCTGGATGAGAGATACGTAATGAAGCAGAGACACCCGGAAATGCAACGCCCTTAGTCCCGTTTGAATTGGCGTCATAAACCTTGATTCGAGATCCTAACATGTGGCCCATCTTCTCGCATATTGTAACAAGATCGTTCGAAATTCCAGGTTGCCATTCATTTTGTCTTTCGCCCTCCGCTCATACTTATATGCAAGGAACATAAACAATACCCGAAAGCATTCCCAACACGTGATCTTCACCGGGAAATAAAACTTGTTATCACAAAGCTCCTCCATCGTAATCTAAGCCTAAAATCCCTCAATAGACTGAAGCACGGTATAATATGAGGGTCTTTTAAAACGAAGGAAGTTTTATTGCGTTCTCTTCTCAGATACATGCAAAGTTCCACTGGTTTTCACAACGTTTATAACAGAATGTAACGATTATTATTCTTGGTCAAACGAGGAAATGAATGACTTCCTGCAAGGCTGGTCACCTCAGAACAAGACCAAACTCGAAAAAGGTAAAGAAACAAAACAAATCTCTCCTTGGCAGTATCAAAGCACTTTGGAAGCCAATAGTTTTCCATACTTGGGGAAAATGGCTTCGTATAGAGGAGGAGGCTTTATCTTTGAGCTTGGGCCTGATGGAGACGCTGTTTATGGCGAGCTTAAAAAATTGGAGACTAGCAACTGGATTGACAGATACACTAGAGCACTATTTACTGAACTAAGCATCTACAATGTGAATATTAATCTTCTCTGCGTGGCGACTTTGCTTTACGAAGAATTACCCACTGGTGGTGGGCAACCTTTCGTCAACGTCCAAACAATTCGCGTTTACAGGTACATTGGGAATTTTTCAGCTGCCCTCATGGCTTGTGAGGTCATATTTGCATTTTTGCTTTTAAACTGGATCCTGAGAGATGGCAAGAGGCTGTGGAGACAGAAAAAGTCCTTTTGGAAAAATGTCTGGAACATTGTCGATATTGCAATAACGTCCCTTTCTGTGGCGTCTCTGGTACTCTATTTCATGCGACTTGTTTTTCTAACTTCAACTGTTGGAAAGGTGCGAGACGATCCCTCGAAATTTGTCAGTTTTCAGTACGTGGTGCTCTTAAACGAAGGAGTTAATGCCATGGTCGCATTCGTCGTTTTGCTGTTGAACCTCAAGTTTCTTCGCTTATTGAGATTTAATCGGAAGATCTCCGTGTTATCCATGACAATTAAAACCAGCGCCAGCAAGCTTGCCAGCTTTATGATAATGTTCATGGTGATATTTTTGGCCTATTGCTTCCTAGTTTACCTCGTATTCGGTTCTGCACTTGAAGAGTATCGCTCCTTCATAAGATGCATGGTATCTTTGATGTCCATGGTACTGGGAAACTTTGAGTTCTATGATTTGGTGGCTGTTAATGCTGTGATTGGCCCAGCAGTCTTCTTCACTTTCATGGTTGTGTTCCAGTTCATACTTATAAACATGTTTATTGGTATTCTTTGTGACAGCTTCAACGAAGTTCGCTTTGATTCGGATAAACAAACCAACGAATACGAAATCTTGCAATTTATTTCCAACCGCATGAAAGCTCTAGTTGGAATGTTCGTTGAACCACCTATTCGACCGGAGTATAATTGGCCCAAGAGCGATTTGGAAAAGAAGGTAGAAACGATAGAAGAGAAAGCTGACACTACTATGTACTTTATGCGAAATTTGTGTGACGAAGATGTGCGCCAAATAAAATGGTTTCAACCTGACCTATGGTCAAGAAAGAAGAGCAAAGTTGTGTCACTCGTTCTAAACTCGGATGCTGAAATCCTGGAGAACGACTTGTGCGACGGGATTGAGGCTATGAACAACGTTATTGAAAAATGTTCCGAGAACGAATTGGACAGGATGATTGCTACCTCAAGGTTGAAAAAGAGGATTGAGTCTGCGGTTGCTTCAGTCATGAGTGGGAGTCTGGTGTCTGTTCATGAGGAACCGGAAGAGGTGATCTCGCAAGCTTCTCAAGACATTCTTAATGAACATGTGTTAACAGTGCAAGAAATGCAAGGCTCACAGGAGCAAGGCTCACAGGACATGTCCGAACACAGTGAGAGGGAATCTGACGAAGAGGAGGAGGATGAGAAAGAAATCGAGGAGCAGTGGGAAGAGGAACTTGAGTTGTTGGAAGAACATCTTGAAAACTATACATCGCAGTATCAACCTTTCAATACACCCGTGGTAAATAGTGCTCTTTCGTTGAGGGGAGTCTCCGTCACAGGCATGTTCCAAGGTACGCAAGACGTCGCCTACAGCAGGGAAGTGGACGATAGCGTAATGAAAAGCGTGGCATCCCTGGAAATTACTTCTTCCGCAAGACCGGAGCAGCTCGAAGAAACCCAAGGTATTATTGCAGAGGTCAGATCGCAAAGCAGTGAAGACGAGATGGAGGATGATGTCTTCCAAAATAGTTCACCACAGAGTGCAGTGGGAAATACCTCTCCTACTTGGCAAAGCATTTCAGCATGGGCTCCTGGGAGAAGTACTGGGAACAACACCATAGTATACGTGGAAAATGACAACAAAGAATCTGGGTGCAGTGGAAATGAAGACTATACTACAAAAGGAGAAGAAGAGATTGTTTCAAAAAGGAGAGAAAGCGAGGCCTAAACATATTCATGCTTCTTGCAGCGTAATCATATCGTTTAGAGACTTCAACGATCGATAGCTTGGTTTCGATTTGCTCGAATACTTCTCTTTGGACTAACCGGTTAACAATTACCTAACGCATTATCATCAAATATGTTTATGTCTAAATCAGAGAGTTGAATACACATGTTCAACAAGTTCAAGGGTTCAGCGAACAAAATGAACCACCAAACACCATAGAATAGCGCCCCAAGCATTAGCCGAAATAACAAATAGAAGATACGAAATATATCTTTAAATTGAAAAAAAAAATGCACGAGCCAACAAGTTTCTTAATACTTAATGGTTGAAAATGTCTGACACATCCCTGTAGATGATATGAATTTAGCAAGAATAATGTTAAGCTGATGTCTTTAACCACAAGTAGTAGTTTAACAGGTTTGACTCAAGTCGGTAACCATTTAAGCTTCTCGTCGTTACGGGGACATTCTCATGTTTATACACATTTACGAAAAAGAACAATAAAGTATAAATTAAATCACTTTTCTGGAATTTTTGACGACAGTGTTTTTTCCATAACTTTGCAAGCTTCAAATTTGTAAGTGCTAATTTTAAATGATGCCAATTGGCGACCTACGCGTTGAATTAGAAACGCTTTTTACTCAGTGGGAAGGGCATAGCTGCTAGAACTGCGCTCACATTTGAAGTTTGGCAAACTGAAAAGGAACTAAAGAGCAGAAAAAAAAAACGAAGGACAGTTTTATGTGTGCTCAAGGAGCACTACCACTCCCTTTAACCAAAAATGTAAAGCACTAATCTAATACTTTAGCAAAGAGTTGAACTACACAAATGATACCAATTGTGCCAATAGAAGGGGGACTTTATGGGCCCGAAGCATAAAGACCCTTGTTATGTCACCCCAACAAATACAATTTGTTTCTTTAGCCGATGGTTTAATTGCTTAATTTTCAAAACTTTTAAAAACCCCATCTTGAATGAAAACAGAACAGATGTACGGGCCTGTTAAGTTACCGCGACCCCCGGAGGCGGAAAAAATAGATCCAAGCAATGTCTCATTAGCCTTCTTATATTTCTTTAACCCTTTAACTCCCATAAGTGACCAAGACAGAACTTCTCCCTACATTACCCACCCAATTTCAAGCAGACAAGTGATGAGAATAAAGAGAAATATCGATTAGGGGACTACAAGTTGATCCAATACCAAATTCTCCAAACTTACATCACAAGAGCAGTATGGGAGACAGTAAGGAGAATTACTGATGAGATCTTGGAAGTTAAAGGGTTAAGTAATCCATCCTTAACTGCATTTCAAGCTGTAGACACCCTTACATTTTCAATTTGTCCTCAACATATTTTTCTCTTAGGTTTTACTTGATCAGTTATGAGCGCGAGCTTCCGAGTAAAAACGAAACAGAGGCGATTCACGTCATAAAAGACACGCGAAGTTATCACACGGAATTACATAAGATGGGGTCGTAACAAATCTACCTCGACTGCCAGTATTTTGAATGTAGAAATTCGGCAAGCACGTGAAATAAGTTCTTTTCGCGACAGTATTTACCCGTTGAAAAGGAAATAGCTTGGTGATACAGGTGGACCGTTTGAAAAACGCATGAATCAGCATGGATTTTAAGGTCATTCTTCTGTTCATTCTTCAATCCGTCATTATGGTCACACCACTCCTTTTCGATAGAGAACTTGAAATCATCAATTCGAAGTGGTCAGACCTTCCTGTAGCTGTGAGACACGTCGAATTCATCGGTACCGTTGATAACGGTACACTAGATTGTTTTATTCCTGGATTTAAAAAGTATCGTTGGGAGTTCATTAACAAAGCAAGTGCTGGGCCATTCGCTGAATCCGCCAGTCTCATCCACGACGAGGAGATCAAGGAACATCAAACCGAGATACGAATTGGTAAGGGAGGCATCCCCATGGCAACTGAAATGCTGGTGGTCTCTTGCGAGGCAATGGTTGAAAACCGACCACGATTTCAGATTATTTGGGTTATAACTCGATTGCATTCACCACTTGGATATCCAACCGACCCCCGGGTGTGTTTCTTCCACCTGACTAGATATGAAAAGCTTGCATGCGATGATTTGAAGTGGTGGTTCAACACGGATTGCTATTACAATAAAGGAAAAGAATACAGGGGAACGGCCTACATCACAAATAGTAATCCGCCCCTTCATTGTCAATACTGGTACCAGGGACGTCCAAACTCTGGCAGCAGCAATTACAAAGTGGACTTTGGCAAAGAACACAGATACTGTAGAAATCCAACTAACGAACACACTCTCTGGTGCATGACAACCTCAACTAAAAGAAGCTTAAGGAAACAGTATTGTGTCGTTCAAGAATGCTCAGATTGCATGTATGGAAATGGAGATGGTACATTTGATGTTTACAATTTTGTTAATTACAACACAGCATATCGTATACCAAAGTTCCCAAAATACGAGGGCCGATTGATCGAGACCCTGAAGGAAGACGAGAATGGGGTGCCACGATTGTGCATGTCTGGTAAAGGATGGGAGTTTAATCTTTGTAGGCCGAGAAGTGGAATGACAGGACCCCACTGCCTGATAGCTAAAAAAAAATCTCAAGAGTCTTTAATAAAAAGTCGGTCTGACAGTAGGTTGGAATGGGCAGAGTGCAGAATCCCACAGTGTACAGTGAGACAAGTTTGGTTTCTATTTTTCAACTCCTTCGGGCAACCTTACCTTAAAGAATCTAATATGGAAGACGTGGAAATAATCATCGTCAACGGAAAAAAAAGTGCAATAATTAAGTTTGCGGCATTTGGAATACATCGAGCCACAGGGCTCCGCATCGGCACTGAAGAGTTACGACTAGTGAAATACGCTCAATCTTTTATTCTGAAACCTCGAGTTCCTCCAAGTCGTCTAAGCATTATAGACATAAGAGACGTGACGAAAAAATACAGTGGAAAGTACTTTGTTCAGTACACATTTGTGGAAGGGAATTCGAAAATTCAGCAAACAATTTACAAGGGCAATTTCAAACTGATCGTGCGCGAACCGATGAAGTTGTCAATCACTCCTAGTAAGCTCGAACTTTGTCCAGGGGAAAGAGGCAGCATGGACGTTCAAGTGTCTGGAGGTTTTAAGCTAATGGAAGGCAGTATCAGGTGGAAATACGGATATTCTCAAAGCAATACCAATCGACAAATATCAATCGAGGATCAACTATTTGAGCTATCCGCTGATTTGAAGAAAATAACCATAAAAAAAATCCAGAAAGACACTTGGATCACGGTTTACGGGTCTTCTTTTGCAGGTGAAGCCAGTAACACGGCACAATTCAAAGTTAAAGGTTAGTACCCTTTTTTCCTGTTTACACTCAAAAGTGATTAATATATATTATCCGGTCAGCGGGTGACGAAAGAAAGAGCCGAGTTACTCAGAGAAAAGTTTGTGGTTTATACCTACTCTAGAATTTTTCATCCCGCACTATTAAGGAAAACAAGAAATTTCAAAAACCCCATAGGGACAACGTTTGAAAAAAATCGACTTTATATATGTTATCTGAATATCATAAACTTGACAATGATTGCCGCCGATTCACGTACATAATAAGTTCCACGTCGAAAAAAATTATAAACCCTTGTACACGGATATTCCAAGGTTGCTTTTATGTACGGGATTTTATTTTATTTATTTATTATTTTTTACTTCCCTTTTTGATTGGTCCATAAATCTCGCGCCAACCTATCAACCAATCACAAAAACCAATCGCGGTTTAGCCATTTGAGTTTATCGGCACCTCAACTGACTTTCTCACAAAATGTTTCGTTTCGTTGTAGCGCTACCACATCTCATCGCCAAATCACCAACACAAGTTTTCGTATTCCAAGGTGATGAAGTTTATCTCACTGTGGACTCGGAGAGGGGCTTCGTGACTACATGGACTTTTGAAGCACAAGTCATAGCAGACGTTCCCGACGACCCAGAAATGGCCTTCCTAAGAACGCTTCAAAACAACACAGTCTCCGAAACCTTGGTGATTACTTCCGTAGAATGGAGACACTTTGGAATTTATGCTGTTGAAACCGAAAAAGATGGCTGTAAGAAGACTGTAACATTTCACTTGCAACAAGATGAAGGTAAAAGTTGAACTTTAATTGGTCCATCTTGTGTCACGAAGCCGAATATGCCCCATCAAAACCCGGGAACGTTCGTTAATGTTCGCCAAATGATATTCCCAAATTTTCAAAATTTGCGTCCATTTCAATCCAATAGTTATTCCTTGATTAAGTGAATTAAAGTTGATGGTTAGTTTCGTTGTTACAGCAGACACTAAATTGACTATATCCCTGAAGCCGCTTCTGATGAAAACGTCAGTTTTTGACGATAGGCTGTTAAAAATAATTTTATTCTTAGCTGGATAATAAACACAATTGCCTACTTTTGGCTCAAGAAACGGTCGAATGTTCTTCTTGGAAATTATCTGTTCCTCACAGCTCACGGTTCTCTTTGGAACAGGTAATTTCTTAGTAATTTCTTTCTGCTGACATGTATGCGTGCATATTTTCAAACCAAATGAAGGCTATCATTCATTTGTTGTGTTCTTGAATTCATTTTTTTTATCATTCTTACGTCTAACAGAAAGAGAAATCGGTGGAGAATCAGGAATGCCAGAGGAAGAGATTGATAACATAGAGAGTCCAGTGGAAGATGAAAGTGAGAAAAAATGTTCAGTTCTTGTTAATATCGGTGAAAAAATTGTTTTTTTCTCATGAAACTTAGATACCTTGATACTTTCATATTTAACTAAACACTCATGCTAAAATGCACGTCAATCCTTTTCCCGCGATAATCGTAAAGCTTTGAACTCCCATGAGTGACCAAGAGAGAATTTCTCCTTACAGCGTCAATGCAATATCAAGCAGATAAGTGATGAGAATTAAGGAAAATAGCGATTAGGGGATTTTTAGTTGATCCAATATCAAACTCTCCAAACTAACATCATAAGAATGGTAGTTATGAGATCTTGGGAATGAAAGAGTCAAGCTATGTTAATTTGGAGATGGGACATTCACCTAATTCTATTACTCTACTGCTTAGACATGACTTCAGCAAACCATATCAATTTTAAATGGAGCCTTGAAAATAATGCGAAATTTTTAATTGTTTTGTTTTACTGTTTCATGATTAGTAAAAAAAAAAATCACGCTGCGCTCTTAACCAATCAGAATGAAAATTACTTGTGATTGCTTCAGGCAGTTTCCTTGTTTATACTCTGAGTTTCCATAGGCCCTTGCCCATATTGGCAGCTGCAATTGCGTTGGTTTTAATTTTCGATTCTCAATCAAAACTTTTCCTCACAAGTGTGAAGTTTTTTCTGTGGTTCATGGTAATGTCTTTAGGGATACGGTTCTTGTAGTCAGGCGGCTGATCATAATTTTGAATGTAATAAGTGTTCATGGATTTTTGCAGGATTCTGTACCGCAAGACACCTAAATTT